TTCTGTATGTAGGTGAAAGTGTTCTGAAACCAACCTGAGCTGATAACATATCGAGTAAACATCATTAGTCTGCTTCTGGCTCTCGCTGATGGGTATTATCAGAAGAACATGTGCACCTCATAGACTGTACATGGTGCACCTTCAGCTCTTTTCTTCTCCAGGAAAAGCAGAGACATGATTAGACATCACACAGACGCATTACCTCAACATGATGCTCACACGGTGATGCTGAGACAGTGATCACTAGGTACATTCAGGGTTTATTGGTGGTGGGGAGTTTTCTGTGGTTTGCATCCTACATTTGGCTTGTTTTCATCGTTCCATGCCAAGTGTTTACATCAGCAGAGCAACAGAAAGATGGCATCATTGTGTTTAGGATGAAGATACAGTGACCATTTAAAAGTTGTAAATTCAATGCCAATACAATTCATGACTAATTATCACAAAAAGTAAGGACATTTGTATTCTCTGGGAAAAAAATGTGTATCATTGGAAACCCTGATTATTACCAGTTCAGCTAGATAAAAACATCTATAGATTGTGCATCAGTGGAATGTGTAACAAAGCAAAAGATGTGACTAAGAACACACGCACTCTTTCTGAGTTGCTTGGTGCAATAGCAAGTTCCCACAGAAATAAATACATTGTCTTACTAATTCAGCAGGTCTCTGAACAAACAAGTTGTACCTCTTATAGAATAGAATAGAATAGAATAGAATAGAATAGAATAGAATAGAAATTCTATTATCCCGCAGTAGGGACATTTTGGTGACACACATCGACATATATACTGGACAATTCATTTCCATAGGCTCCAATAACACGTTTTTGTGCCAAAATGGGAGGTGGCCACCACCGCCATTTTGACCGTGTCATAGGTTCCGTCAAGCCCAGACAATTCCACAAAAGGGAAGAGAGGTGGAGCTGAGGGTGTGGCTGTAAGGCTGGGATCAACTGACGACACCCGGTCGAACTAGCTACAAGATAACCTGAAGCTAACCCAAAGCTAACGCGGAGATGGGAGCTAAGCTAACGGAGGTAGCCACCTAGCTACAACCGGAGTTAACTGTGCACAACACCAGAGCTTCTGAGTCAGAGATACGCCGGGCTGACCGCTGGGTAAAACCGGGTGGAACACAGAGGTCTCCCGAAAGCTGCAGAAAGCCGGCAGCACGCACAGCAGACAGAAGCCGCGATCAGACAAAGATGCGCCGAGCTGTGGGGAGGGGAGAACCGGGTGGAAAACAGAGGTCTCCCGAGAGCTCCACAAGCCGATAGTCGGAACCCAGCTCCACCAACATGTTATATTTCAACCCATTTTCTAAAGTGCAGCATTATGTTAAATGCACTGGTTTTTACCCTATTACATTTATTTCGTGGTTAAACAGTACATGTTAAAATCTAAGCTCAGCTCGGCAGTGACCTAAAATACATAAATATAATTTAACTTACCGAAAAAAATGAAGTGGAGACTCCTTGGACGCTCTATTAATGCAATTAATGCCACAGCAAGTCATTTTGTCCAACAATTGCACAAAAAATATCCAAAAAAGAATACACAAACACAGAGACTCAAAATCCCAGAGCAGTTTCCAAGCCAGACCGAGGCTCTACTGAGGCCTTTCCACGGAGGTAGCTCTGTGGTCACGTAGGTCTGAGGCGGCGGTCACGTGGGTCGGATGCTCATTAATTATACAGAATTTTAGGCTTTTAATACACTTAAACAGAAAAGTGAGAAAAAAAATTCACCCCCCTCAGAGTTGTCATGAGTGTAAACTAGATCATTTAAACCAAAACCATGTTTTGGTACCAGGCTGTAAACATGTTTATTTTTGCTGTGAAATTGGTATTTTTAACATGGGAGTCAATGAGGATTTGCTCGCTTCTGACACCAGCCCCCATTGGATGAGGGTGGAACTGCCATTTTTGGTACTTCCGGGTTGGGCTCAATTTTTGACCCGCATTGTGGGGCTTGGTGACACAGCAGCAATCCCATTCACAACAGGAGCAATGAATAAAGAAAAATATTAATAAAAAGCTGTACATTAAACAAACAAACAAAACATCTAGGCAAGAAATCCTTAAAAGATTAGTTTTAAATAAAAAATCAAATACTGAGTTGAGACATGAAGAATATTTTAGGGAGAATATAGTATACACAACAATTTATATAAATGTTAAAGTACTATAATGTATAATACAGTAATGTGTAAAATTATGTTGACGTGACCAACAAGTTTCCCATGTTACAAGATGCATTACCAAGAAGCATTGAGACAAAGTAATAATCAAAAACCATAAATTCTTTTGTTTTATTTTTACCAGTGTAAAAATTACTTTCTACTTTTTTACTTCAAATCTGCTTTTTTTGTTTTGTTTTGTGAATGAGGAATTCACATATTTATTTTATAATACTTGCAGATTTTTGTTTTTATTTTGATTCCTTAACACAACGTTGTCTTTTTAAATGAGAGAACTTCCCAAATTAAGCAAGTGCTTATTTCCTGCTTCACTAGGAGAGAAATGGCATATGGACATTCAAACTGTAATGAGTGAAAAATACCAATAGATGGAGCTGTTTTCTAATAAAACCATCATGCAAACTTCCAAATGTGGTCAATGAAATGTTCAGATGCCTGAAATAAGTAATTTCATCAAAAGCAGTTTCAGATTGATCTTAAGTTCATCATGACAGTGACTTGTAAATACAGAACAATTTCAAATGTTATTTGATCATTGCAGCACTCTTATTTGGAATTTCAGTACTGTTCCAATAGGGTAACCAGGAAAGGTGAAATGTAAGGCTGTGTAAAAGTAATACCTGTTGCATAACACAAAAGATGCATGATTGGAAAGTTTAAACATTTTGTAAACAACTTAACTGCGACAAGTTGTAATTCATCTATGTTCCTTCAAACTTAAGCTATTCAAAAAGCCATCTACAACAGGTAGGATGTAAACGTTCCACCGAGCCCTGAGTCGAATGTTTTCCCTTTAATTTGAATGCAAATATTATTGTAATTAGCCTGGCAAGCGATCATATGTATGTGAATATATAGTCTGGCCACAACTCATAGGGAAAGTTTAGCAAGTGGTGGTAATCCATGGATGTCTTTCAAACTGTCTCCATATGCTATTGGACAACAAACAGGATGTACTCACCGCTACAGATATCAGTCAACTGGGCAGTCCACAATCACCGTTGAAGAAAACACAAATACATCCTTTTTCTGTATAGAGAAATTAAGTACTTTATCTGCTCTTGACTCTAAGAAAAGCCCAAGTCTGAATAGTCCAAAGTTGATGCCAAAGCCATTTCAATCAAGTACTCGCCAAGTTGTCCTTCTCCATCTCAAGACGGGTGTACACTGTGTGACTTTTTTCATTTTTCTGAACCGATTTTCCCTTCGTGTGAAAATCTACAAGATTGGGGCGAGATTGGCGCTGAGCATCGTGTAGTATACAGGGGTTGCAAGAAGCGATAAACACCACGTGACCAGCTACCGATCAGCAATCGTAAACTTGCACGGATTTCTGCTGTGTTTGATATTTTGGTCCTCCCTCATGAGGGTATCACACTGCTGAAGCGGCGCTGTGAGCGGCTGCCACTCAAAAGTAACAAAAGTGCCCACGGCGTCAACACGGCTCACCAGCTATTTCCCCATTAATGCACCTTGTTCGTTTTTATTTCTACACTTTTACACACACAATGACAAGAATTGTTAAGAAACTACATTTGCTGTGTTTATGCTAAATTAAATGGATCACAAAACATTGATTTACTTTCTCTCGATTTCCCCCTCCAACCCCCATGAATCCATGTGCCCTCCTACAGCAGTCCCAAGGGACAACAAACATTGATGACAACACAATAAAAGTCTGACGTGTTGTAACCAGATGTACAGTGTGAGCAGTCAAGTCGCATCAACTGGGTCGTACAGTGTGAGCACATGACTCGTGAGGTTTGCCCAGCGAGGAAGTTGTACAGTTTGAGCTGAAGCGGAGTGCTACAAGTGAAAAAGTCGCAAAGTGTCCCCCCTGCTTTAGTCATCGCCATACTGATAGAGCTCTGTGATTGGCCCATACCAATAGAGTGCTGTGATAGGGCTGTGGAGGTTCCAATGAAGTGTGGCTAGTCTGATATTAAGAGCAAAATTATTTAGTTACTGCTACTGTCCATCTAGATTTCTAGGCTAGATTGCAATTGTTTCTTTGGGAAAATTACATTTTAGACATTCCTCTCGCCACTTTTCTTTTGCCACTTTTGGCACTAAAGGTTTGAATACTGCTTCAGGTCCTGAAGCAGCAACGCAGCACCAGACCATCACACTACCACCCCCATGTTTAACCATTGGTATGATTTTTTTTTCTACCGTGTTCACTTATAACACCACGCATAGACCAATACACCATCCCAAGAGTTCTACTACATTGTTGAACAGTAGACTGAAACCATAACTTCAACCAAGAGATGGCCTAAATTGGTGGTTCCCAAACGTTTCAGCTGTAGCACAAAATAGCACCCGAAAAGACAAGCAACTTCAGATATCACTGATTTGTCAACACAAGCATGCTTAAAAAGCTAAATTATTCAGGACATTCAGTTCATGTTCACTAATATACATTCATGACAATGAAGTTGAGATGTACATTTTGTGCAAGAAAAGACCTTTGTGTAGTTCTTGGTGATCCACATGGAGACCCCGAGTTTGGGAGCCACTGCATTAAATGTTTTGGGTTGTTCTTTTGTATTTGAGACACATAATGTGTTGTCAGGCTCTGTTGAAACAATTAAAAAAGCTAAAGACAACATAAGTTAGCAATAGATCTGATGGACCAAGAAGTAGAAGTTTGAAAATATCAGATTATTTTCGTTTTTTAACCCATGTATTCCCCCACAGCCCAACATGCGCTGAGCTGTGAAAATACATTCTCCGGCAGCCTGTGGTTTGCTGTGACGCCAGTGGGCTGGTCCATGGAGCAAAGCGCAGCTTTCCAGCTGCTGTAATGGGAGTGGGCGAGCTGGGATAGGCTGGGAGTTTGGTCGGAACCTTCAACAGGCCGGGACAGAGGCAGAAGGAAAAGAGAACGCGAGAGAGAAGGATCCACAGAGCTGCAGGGAAGCTGCATGTTTGACAGGAAATTAGTCATTTTTACGGAAAGCAGGGGGTCGTTAGAGTCAGGGCTCACGGATCTGAACGGCTTGGATGACCAAGAAGAATTAGGGTTAAAACTTTTTTTTTTTTTTGTGACCGCTAGTAAGAAACACAGGGAGAGATATCTGCATTCGGTTGGAACGGATAAATAGGAGGACATCATGCCGCGGCGCACCGTGCAAGAGGTGATCGTTCAAGATGTCCAGAAGCGAAGGATTCCCAGCAAACACTACGTAAGGCTTTTCTTTACCACAGCCCTGCGCGAGGCGCGCGGATCCTTTATCCAGCAGCTCAGACTTATTGCATTGGGTGAAAAAGTAAAAACAAAGAGAGTGTCAAATTACAGCAACCCGAATGGAAAGGAAATGACTTTCGCAATATTGTTTAATTATTTTCATTTGACTCAGGCTTGTGTTGCAAAGCCACATTAAGTAAAAACTCCTATTAAGGTTATTAGACGCAAGAATTCAGTGGATAAACTCCCTGCTGCGAGTTTTAAAAGGATCAATGGCTCATGTGACTTATGACCCCATTCCAGTTTGCACATTTTCAAGGGACTCTTGAATATTTGGATTGAGTTACAACAACAAACTTACAAAATCTGAGTTCAAGCTCTGTTTTTGTCCGGTCATGTGTAGACAAATTAGTGTCTGCTGAGCCTCCAGAAGCATATCAAGCTTTGTCATGCATCAATTCCTACAATTAACTCTGAAAAAACAGGCCTGCAGACATGAGTTACCAGGAGGATTTACCAAAACCACACAGAGACATGGAATAATTTATTTAGAAAACACTCACTTGTTTTGCAGAAATATACAACGTTTTTATTAAGTATTTATTAATGTTTTTAGTTCTTTTTGGATGTTGACCAATACTGGGCATTTATAATGGTGCAACTCAACTGATTTTTTTTATTTCCTGCACAAGCAAGGCCGATAATATGACCAATGAAACGATGGAGTGACATATGTAAAGTCAAACAGTCATAACTTTGGATTATTTAGCCTTTCGTAGGAGAGAAAAAAAATGTGAGTTAATTTTTCAAAGTCATATTTTCACCACATTAATAACACATTTATACATGTTAGAACCCAACTAAGTTTTGGCTTAACCTAAATATCGATTTTAAAAACTAGATGTTTTGGCAGCAAATTTCATATGTAGCTACGATTTGAATATTTAAACTAATATTTAGATAGTAAATAAAAAATATTTTACAAATTAAACCTCAATATTTAGTTTGTAAAAAAATCAACTCTAAATTGAATATTTTGTTTACCAACAAAATATTTATGTAACTTTCTAAATAGTTTGAATTTTCAACATTTATGAAAGGTTTTATTAATGTGGTGAAAATATGAGTTTGAAAAATAAACTCATCTTTTTTTTCCTTTTACAATTGACTGAACAACCCAAAATACTGCTGTTAAATTATGACTTTTTGAATTTACAAATGGCACCCCATAGTAATCAGCCATCTGATTAAGCCTCCTTCAGCCTCCTGTTCTGTTGACTTCAGCCAATGAGCCAAATATTTGACCCATTTTTCTCCTTCCCACCAGTCCTCACAGAGCTTGGGTCATATAGGCAAGAATGTCAAAAGGACAAAGAATCACTTCTGACTTTCCAGCTTGTCCTAAACAATGAAGCTTTTACTGGTTTTGTCTTGAAGTGAGCAGTGGGAGCAGCTTAATGTGGAGGAATTCTCCGGAAAACACACATTCGGCATCAACCGTATGACTTTATATGAACTAGAAGTTAAAAATGAGGCGTGGCTGAAGACATTGGGGAGTGTTCGTGTTAGTGCTCTGTCCAAACGTATGGCTCTGTGTGAGTTCTGCTGTTGGTGTGCATCCATGTACGTGTGAAAATTAAACTTGGGACCAACAGGCATTCTTTTGCTGTGAGTGGCAGTGGCCAAGGACGCTGCATGCTAGTGGCCCTGTGTCTTCACCATCTGTTTACTTTTCCTGTGGAACCAGTGTTGTTTGGTGCTCATGGTACCAGACACCTCAGAGAGGACTGTTTTTAGCCATTTAAAAGTGTTTTTTAATGGAAAAATATTTTTCTATTTAAATATTTGTAACAAAATGAGTGTAATGCAAAACTCATGGATATTTAGTAGATTGGAGCAAGAAGGCATCTATACACTTTGACCTTGGCTACAATCAGATTAGCCGTGAGTGCATCAGGCCAGTTGCAGTTGAGCACCATTTATACAATCAAGCTATTGACAATAGGTACAATAGATTTACACAAAGACTTACTTTAAAAGGGCAATATGTTAGAATGAAGTAAAAATTACATCCTGTGATCAAATATGGTTACTGCAGGCCATTTTTCTAAGCCAAAAGTCACTTTCTCACTACTGTTCTGTGAGTTTCATGGCTGTTGCCAGTTACGGATCAGCACCAGAGATTCTAGGTGACAAGCAAAGAGGAATAATACACAGTAATTTGATAAGTAGTTGTCATATCGTGGTAATTCACTCGTGGGTGTTTTACGGCAGGGAGCACTTACAACGCTTGCAATATTTTTCAGCATCAGAGGAAGTGTGGTTGTTCGCCATCTTCCTGTTAGCTTGCTGTTATAGTTCAGAATGACTCATTAAAAAGGAAGTAAAACGCCATGATCGACTCATTCTCTTTGCATAAAACACATTTCACTGTAATATTTAGTTGTTGTTAATTGAAAAAGTAGCTTGAGATATTTTAGGGCAGATGATTTTCTTCTAACTTACGATTGTTAGCTCAACATGAGCCTCTAGCCTTCTTCACCCAATATTAGTTAAACAAAAAGATGTCGTGGCCTCTTAAGGTTACAAGAAATAACATCTGGGTCGCTCCTGTTTACTGGCATCGGTTCTTTAAACAACTCAACACCAGCAGGCAAAAAGCTCCAAATACCGGCATTGCCGTGTTAGACTGGCTTAGACTGGACAACCTCACCAGCTCACAGATTGTAAACAGTAACTACGTCCTTTAGTTTTTTTTTGTTTTTTTTTTGAAAAGAGAAAAACAGTCAACCCCCCAGCCAGCTGAGGAGGTAATCTGCTTCAATGTAACCTTCCATCAACACGATTGAGACATTCGACTGTTTTGTGATTGTTTCACTGTAGAAATCTTACATATTGCTCCTTTAAAATGATGAGAAATAATCACTTCAACTCTTCCAAATTTTTGAAGAGGGCAACATGCAGGATGGAAAACTGCAGTATTAGGAGTCTTACAAATGTGAATTATATGCAAACATCTCACCTCGAATTGGCTAAACAGCAATGTGACATTTTCGCTGGCTCCGTTTGCTATTCTTTATTTGGTAAAAAAATGCAACGTTGATGTGCTATTTCCATAAATAGCACACGCCTAAACATGTTCTGCCATCATTTGGAGACACCAATGCTAATAGTTAGATGTGCTTCGTTCTCTCATGGCAGCTTCCTCGGTTACGAGCCAAGGTGGGTTAGTCCACAAATACAAATTTTTCCAGTGACCCAAGCATTTGCCCCATCTATTTTTTTACGGCAGCTAATGCAAGAAATGGGGTAAAGACGTTTCACGTTCTTCATGCATGTGAAACGTAGTGTCACTGACTTCATTTCAAAATGAACAAGAATGATAGTTTTCTCAGTGAACCTCTGTTTAAAACTGCGCATCCTAGTCATATTACAGTCTTTTTTAAAGGTTTGTGTTTATTTTGTGGTCTTGCCTCCTAACCTTAACCCTTTTTGGTGTAGTTCTTGGACCAGATTAACCTCAACTTTGCGTGTTTACAAACATATGCTTGGTATGGAATGTAACTTGTTTACCTTGATCTAAACACCCCCCCTCTACTTGTCTGCATGGCAATATCCAGCTTTAGTTTCCTGGAAGGCAGAGGGAGAGACAGAAAGGCCTAGAGGAGGTCTGGGATTAAGGCCAGCAGCAGTCAGCCAGACAAAGTGAGCCACCGGGGAGTTTCCAATCACCTCCTTTCTCTTGCTCCCTCTTTTTTTTTCCTAGCACAAACTGAAAAGGGTGTCCATTTCCTCCAGACCTCAGTGATGAGATTAGATTTGTTGTGATATCACATATTTCCATATCAGTTAATGAGCTTCCATTTGCAAAATCCAATATGCCATTTATTTTATGTAATCCTTGGGCCTCCTTTGTTTCACTGCTAACAGCTGTTCCTTCATTTACTTCCTTTGAGACAGACCTGCCTTGGTAGTGTTACACTGAGAAGCACCGTAGTCAGTCTGCTGCACCCATACAGGATAATGAGCCACTCTTCAACAGGAAGTGAATCAAATACATCAGGAAGATGAATAATGGGATATCCTTGCTGCTTTCATGTGAACAGATGATAATATTGACTAATGCCAGCCAGAAAGAAGTGATCTGTCATATTTATCTTTATGTGGCAAATTTATCATCATAGTTATTGATTTGTGTTTTTGCCCGCCTCAACAGGTTTACATCATCAAAGTCTCCTGGAGCGATGGCAGCACAGAGACAATTTACAGACGCTACAGCAAGTTTTTTGACCTCCAGGTGAGCGAGTGTGTTGCATGTCTTTGTTTTTGGAATTGATTTATTTATTTTTTAGTTTTCCCTGTCAACACCATTTCAGGATACAAAGACTTATAGCACGTGTCCAAAAAAAGAGTGGAATGTTTGTTTTTATCACACAAGCAGCTTCTCCCCGCTCCACCCAGATGACACTGGCAATTATGTTATGCGAGAGGAGTCGGAAAATGTCCCTGTGAAGTCAATGGAGGACATTGATGAATGTGACGATCGCATTGCTGACCACAGAAATGTCTGAATCATCCAAACGTCATGCTGCCAGTGTGTGTGTGTGTGTGTGTGTGTGTGTGTGTGTGTGTGTGTGTGTGTGTGTGTGTGTGTGTGTGTGTGTGTGTGTGTGTGTGTGTGTGTGTGTGTGTTGCACACAGAGAAAATCTCATTAGCATCAAAGTTTCCTTTCCTCCTTTGAAGCTAATGGATCAGTAAGACTGGTCTGAGCCTGGACAGCACAGACACCAGGAAACCCAGTAAATGGATTGCTTTAAATGAGCACGGGGTGGATTTAGGCAAAGCATATGGTCAGTTCTAACCAAATTAATTCTTAATTATTGATTACAGTGAGCATAAGCAATTGAAGTAAGGGCATGTTATTCCTCACCAAAGCTTCAAAGACTGCCATTGGACTGCTAAATCAAACTACCGCAAAGTATTCCATCACTAATCATTTAAAAGGCTGTAAATTCTGCTAAAAACACATGTAAATCTACTCATATTACATCTGTTATCACTGGTAATATGTTTGCCCATGTGTGCTCCTTAGCCAAATGTCTCATGAGCTACTGGATAGGTTTTAAGCACATATACGTAGTTTGCAGTGCAAATTCGCAGCAATCTGCTTCTGGCTTTTAAGTGGACTGATGGAGTATTAGGATTAGCACTTTCATCCAGAGCCTGCCATGTCCACTTCTTTCATTGGTTTCTGCCCTCTGCTAGATCTACAGGTGAAAAAAAGCCAATTTTACTTATTTGTTTATTGATAACAATAATAATCAACACTTTATTGATCCCTAGAGTATTTTATGCGAAGACACATGGCATCTAGAGGCTTGGGATCGAACTGTTCACCTTTGTCATTTGAGCTATAGCAATAATTGTTATGTGAAACCGAAAGTAAACTGCGTTACTTAATTGATATGAATATGATTGTAATAAAACAAGATTACTAAAAGGTAAAAAAAAAAGTTTGCTTTTAAAATCAGTACAAATGTACTATATTCGTGAAGCAAAGCGCAAGTTGCCAAAAGAGGGCAGGGAGAGATGAAACTAAAGCAGGTTTCACCTGACTGTTTATTTCGGCTGAGTTGTTTTGGTGATTTAGGTGTTTCGGCCTAAAACCAAAAATGCACTTTTGGGTACTTTTTGGCCTAAAATGTTCGGTGGCCAAATTTTAGGTGCATCCCTACTAACAAGCCATGTGTGAATACGTCTGGTCGCAACCTATAAACAGATCTCTGTTGTGGGGTGGCATTTACGGTTATCTTTCAGACTGTCTCTACATGCTATTGGACAATAAACAGCGTGACATACTCACCGCTATGGGTGACAGTCAACAGGGCAGTCCGCCATACACTGTTGAAGAATTTCTGATTTGAACCAGTATTATATAGGCCTTGGTAATATGGAACAATAAGTCCTATCACAATACTATTTTTCATATCGGTAAATATCAATATATATATATCACGATATAAAACAAATCACTGTTTTTGTAGATCTTTAATGTTCTCTATTACTTTAGTGAAGGCATCAGGTTAGGTTGTCATCCTAGAAGAAGGATTGGATACTCATTAAACGAATCATCTCTGCTTTTTCGTGTCTGGTTCGATGAGGTCAATTTGGTGAGACCAACATTTGTAGTCCTACACGTCTTTTCACACAAAACCTAAGTAATTTTGCTGCTATTATAAAAAAAAGCACTTTCTTGGCATCAGAATGTGTCGTTATAATTCTTGAACATCAGTTAAATCCATGGTACTTAAAGCTGCTTTCCGGAGTTTTCCTCTTTAAGGAATTATGCATGATTTGTTAGAAATCCGTAAAAGTGATTCTTATCATGTACTGTGATATAATGTAAGCAATACGTCTTTTTTTTTTTTTTTGCTAAGCATGCCCCCTGCCTGGCAGAACTCTGTGCAATAGGAAACTGAGCGCCGAGCAGAACTAACCAATAGCGTTAGACTACCGCTTAGACCAGGAGTGGGGAACCTCGAATCCTCGAGGGTCAGTATCCTGCAACGTCTTTGCTCCAACACTTCTGATTCAATGGTTGGTTCACCTGTTCTGCAGCTCATCAAGCTCTGCAGAAGCTTGTTAATCACCTGCTGAATGACATCAGGTGTGATGATGCAGGGTTGAAACTAAAATATGCTGGATAGCAGCCCTTGATGGACCAGGGTTCCCCACCCCTGGCTTAGACACTTCCAATTTAAGGAATACCTCGGCTGATGCAGAGTTGATGAACCTTTCATGGACAACGAAGCCTCTATTAGAAAACACAGCGTGCCATGAGAACAATACTCGTAAAACGCATTTTACCTCTGTTTGTCAGCTACAGAAGCACATTTATAAACAGAAATGTGAAGTCGCCATCTTAAAAAAAAACACAGGCACAGAGTTTTTGTGTGATACGCTTGTCAGCCACTAGATGGTGCCATCGGATGAGAGTAATACTCCAGAAAGAAGCTTTAACAAATGGGATTAGGACATAGCTTTTATAGCCCCATTGACTTACTTTCATTTCTCTTTGTTCCGGGGACCAATGGTCCAGAAGTTGATGAGAGTGACTTAGACAAAAACTAAGTAGCTATACGGAGCCTAACGTTAACTAGCCAAAATACGTCCACACGGCTGAACTGTTTGGTCCCTTTTTTCAACAATGTCATTCTCTATGTCCACCTTTTTATTTTCCTTTCTGGGTGCTCATTTTAATATTTTTTTTTATGAGTTATGTCCTACCTGGTACCTGCCGCAAGAGACTATTGCTATGCAAATATTAGCTGTCTGAAGCGTCTCGTGATTTTTATCTTGAGCGGTGCTATAGAAATGATACTTTCTTCTTCTTCTGTTAGCATTAGAGTTCGACTGATATTGGTTTTTCTGTTGCCAATACTGATCTGTAGGACATGGTCAGCCCATGCCAATATGTTTGGGCCAATTTTCACGGCCAATATCCAGACATTGACCACCTTATTTTAATGCTAAAATGTCACTAATAACATCAGTTAATGCACAAACTTTTTGAACTCTGCCACTTTGAATTCTGCTACAGCACCGGGCTGGCTGAGGATGTGCCTGATTTTAAATCTGCTTTGCAAATATTGGCCAATCTTTGGCATGTTCTTGCTGTTTTGCTTTTCTAACTGCATTGTTTGTTCTTTTTAAAACCACAGAAAAGGTTTCCTTTTACCTTACTGACAGTTTAGTTCGCGGCTGCAAATGTCCTCAGAGCTGACGCTGATGGTGGCGTCCTATGCTGCCCACGGATAAATGGAGTAGGAAGTGACGCCACCATCAGCGTCAGCTCTGAGGAAGTTTGCAGCCACGAATGAAACTGTCAGTAAGGTAAAAAGAAACTGTTTCTGTGTTTTATAAAATAACCAACAATGCAATACTGGCCAATGTCCATGTATGAGAAATGGTAAATATGGGCCCGATATATTGGTGTACCCCTGGTTAGCATCATATCCTGCCATGTGGCCATCTGGCTGCCATGTGGCTCTATTCCAGCCACAGATTGGTCCAGCTCAGAGTAAAACTTAATCTGATTGGCTGTGTATCTCTTTAAAGTTTCTAACGACCCATTCTCATGTCTATCAAGGAAGTTACTTTGAAACATATAATGAACATTTTATCGCCCGGCCCTAGTGTTTATGTCATCACTTACAGATCTGATCGTCATGCGAGCCATTTTCAGTTTGGACACTTTTTGTGAGTTGCTCACCACAACCATGTTAGTCATCTGCTTCCTGCTGTGTTGTCAACCTGTGAGTGGGGGAAGATTGGCAAACTAAAAACCATTAGAAAGAAACAGAAAATCACAGAATATTTTAAAATTATAAAGAGTTTTCAGCCATTTTTGGGAAAGCTAAAGTTAAACTTTGTTCACATTAGACACCAATATGAGGCAGCAGCTCAATCATATCACTGGATGTCCATCTAACGTGATGATGTCATTGAACACTTCCTGGTAGCCATACTTCATTTCATGTCATCTTCTTTTGCTTTTTAAAATCTAGACATCTCCTCTCATTCCATGGCTTGATTTTTGGCATTTCCAGTGTCTCAGATCAAGGCAGAATGTGTCATTCACCACATCCTGTCAGCACAGCTGCTGCACATCAGCTGGTTCTTTAAATAAACCATAGCAACGAGTTTGTATTTATTTACTTTTTCATGTGATCACTGACTCTACGTGTATCTTTTGACTTTACTTTGCCTTGCTTTTGGTAAATGTGACCAACTATTATAATTTCAGCAATATTGTGTAGTGTGTATGCTTTTTAACGACGCATACACACGTTTAAAAGGACTGCCTCACGTAACTTGCATTGATTTGAAGCGTTGTTGGTGCGTCGCCCCTTAAATTAATGCAACACATTCGCAAGCTGCAGTATACGAGTAACCAGTAGGCGGAGTTGACAAAACGTGTGAGATACACTCGGCATGGTCACTCAGTCTCTGGTTTAGAGGTCTTTAATATTATCTATGATACTGTTGCCATATATTGACACAATGTATGTTTTGGTTGTACCCTACAAATCCTGGGCTCTATCCGGTCTGAGTGTTCTACTGTGCCCCCTAGTGGAGCACTCCAGTACTATGTGCAGTACAGCAGCAAGTATGTGAACAATGACACGGCCTGCTGCCTGTGTCAACTTGAGGTTAAAAGGCAAGATTATTCCCTAAGAGAACCAGGCGCTCTGCTAAAAATATAGTGTTTCACTCATAGTTTGACTGTGTGCAAAAGGTTAAAAATGACCTTAGATGCAATTTTAATGTGAAGTGACTCAAAGAGTCACATCAAAGAGAGCAGACATTCACACACACCCTTTTTATGGTTTCAGTCAACATCCTTGTACTTAGGAGACCTTTTCTTGGGTGCTGACACAACTAAAGCAAACATATGCAAGACAAACTTTACTCCCAGTGATTATGCTACTGAATAAATTAGTGTTTAAAGCTTTAAACATCACAGGCAAATCAACAGGTTTGTTTTACCTCTGAGACTTTGAAGTTGACAGAAATTTAAACACAAATCTGAATTCCATGTGCACAAGCAGGTGATGGGCAATTCTGCAGATCTTGTGCTCTAAATGAGCACCAGGAAAGTGTTATTGTAATCCCAACCAGGTGATTTGTTGATGTACTCATCTGAAAGCCTGTCATCCACTTGCATGTGGAGCATAAATATTTCTTGTTGATTGGATGACGTCGCTGGTATTTTAAAGAGAGAGACTACTTTACTCTTTCCATATGCTCTTGACTAGTTTGAGTGGCTCTGATTACAGAGTAGATACAAGGTTGAGCAGACTCACAGACTGGGGTGTGTTTGCACTCAAAGTCAGACACATGGGAGCAATTACAATGTGTGGGGCATTAGATCTTCTTTGTCTCCGTCTGGCAGGCTGTCTCTGTATTTGCACTGCTCTTCCTAAGGTGGAGCCACGTGACAGACTAAATATCCATTTCTATAGCACAGTGATTATTTTCGAGTCAAGTTCTTTTGCTAGAATACTCCTTTGCAAGCTGTATTTCATACGTTTTTTTATTTGCTTGTCTAAAATACAGTCTCATGGTCCTTAGGGTTAGTTGGCAGTTGGTGAATAATAATCCAAAAATCAGTAGAAAGAAAATATAGAAAATTTATTTTGTTTTAGTAACGTGGCAGAATGTTCCTATTTGTAGAGTGGTGCAAACATTCCAAAAATGAGTCCCACACCAGTCAAGACTCTATAGTACTTGATGGTGAAAAAGTATTTTGCCGCTTGTATCAATTCTTTTATTGGAGTCACCCACCTTTCTCCAAGTTTAGTTTTAATTGCAAGAGGTTTAGTTTAGTTTTGAGGATTATTACATTGTTTACATGTAAGAAAAACTGTTTCATAGCAAAAACAATTTTAGTTCAGCTTTTAAATGTGTGGGAAATGCAATCTTTAAATATTCTTGTTCCATGACCCAAAATTTTATTATGAAGATTTAAATAACTTTTTATTCTTTCCCCCATTGGTTGAAAGTGGAATTACAACAGTCGTAAATAACCCTGCCGCAGCATTTTGTAGCTAGCGCGAACAGTGAGCTAACACTAACACAAGTCTGCTGATACAAAATTAAGCCACAAAATTAGAAACAAAATAAAATGCCCATTAGGGTCAAAAAGGCCTGGGGAGTGCAACCTTCAGCAAAATGAAAAGCACTTTAAACTCCCTTTCATCACTGGCAACAAGTGAAGAGGTAAATGTGTAAAACAACAATGTTTATTAATGGTGAACGTGTTGTAGTTGTTTGTTACAAATCAGTAAATGCATTTTGTCCTCATGGGCTCCCGTAGAATGAAACATGGCATCTAATACGGTGTCGCCCAGAAATTTAGACCCGCTCCCATGTATTTTTAGACCTGATTTTCATGGTTATATGTTACGAAGTCGCCAATATTTTTCAACAACTGGGCATCATTTCATTTATTTTCAACAACATTTTGATGGATATTTCCAGAGATTAACAATAAAAAGTACACATCGTCTCTTTAAGAGCAAAGATAACCAAACTGACAAAAATGGAAAAAGACAAGATGCAAAGAAACAAGAAGCTGCTGGTTGTTGGATTAAAAATAAATGGAAACACTAATGTTCCACTATGTCAGTGGTGCCTGGCTGCTAACAGCTTCTTAGCTACAGCAACATATGAAACTAGAGTGGGGAAAAAACGCATACCATCTGGTCAGTACATTCCCTATCACTGTCAAACCTGCCCCATTGGCTGAATTCCCTGCAGGAACTGCTGATTTATGAAAAATCACTTCCTAACCATCTTCAGCAGTCCTGTTTCACATTATATGTGCATGTGCTGCATATATTTATTTATGTATGTGTGTGCTTTAATACTTTATGTGCCAGTAACTTTGAAATATGCTTTGGGTTCAGATGGAATTGTTGGATAAATTTCCAGTGGAGGGAGGACAGAAAGACCCTAAGCGTCGAATCATTCCCTTCTTGCCAGGTGAGTTAAAGACGGTTTCATAAAAAATACACAAGCATCAATCGTGTCATTGTAGAGTCACATAAAGACTTGATGATTTACTCTTATAAAATGTATGATGTAGTTTGTCTCATGAACACCCGTGGCGGCATGGCGATGCGAGAATTTTGCGGCATTCATGCCACCACACTTGGTAGTAATACTGTCACAAAGCCGGACTTGTGAATGATTATTACGTCCTTCCACAACAGAGGGAGGTGTCGTGATCACGTGGGAAGTCACTCCCGAGCTCCGGCCGGCAACTATATTGAAAATGAAAGTAAACACGGGAAGTTTTGTTTTTGTAAACAGAACCAGCTGAGATGATAAACTGGAGCAATGCGGGGCTTCTCTCCATTAAATCTGGAGATCATATCACCTGAGACTGCATAGGGGCTGTGGAGGACAGACACCTTTAGGAGTGCGGCAAATTGGCAGCATTGTTTTCTAAAAGAGGCATTTGATAGAGTTGATGAACTCTGTGGGCCAACAAAAAAAAGTTTCCTTTTTATGTGAACCAAATAAAAAATAATCTCCACCCATATCTCCCCCACCAGGCCTGGGACGGGTGGGGGTAAATTTTATGTCCACGCACGTCTGGAACTCATTGAGATGACTCAAACTTAAAAACACCACATATTTGCAGTGTTTGAATCAAGGAGCAGGACGGAAAGAAAACAAGACCTAGACTCCAACAAACCACACAGACTATAATAGTCATACATCTATTTCCTGTCTTAAATTCTTCCTGCTATTTGAAAGTGTGAACTTTAAAGTCATCCGTCTTTTGCGAGCTCTTGATGTTGGTTTGGTCGTCTTTTTACTCCATTCTTGACTCCTTAGAAAGTCACACTACTGCTCAACTTAGCCAAGGCTTTTAAGGCAGCACATAGTAATTTGTCTCTGTATGATGCCCCTAAGTAATGCTATGGTAGAGTGTTGTAATAGATGTTCATCTTGATAAATTAGGATTTTAAAAAAGGTCTACCATTAATAGTGTTTAGATCTTATATCTGATCAAACACCTCACTGAAGAGGGTTCAAAGCCAACATCAATCTGAATTGCTGACGTGTCCCAACAGCAAAGGGCATTATTCCGTGTATGGCAAGTGTACTGAGGCCAGCCTTAGTAAGCACCAAAGTGCTGTTCCCTTCTTTTTTTCAAAGCCACAAGTTGTTTTTACTTTTTTATCATCTCCTCATCAGCAAATAAGCGTTCCTGTCTGTGTACACAGTGCAGAATTTCTGCTCTTGTTTTCTTAATTTGCTAGAAGTTGCATTTTAAATCTCTTGAGTTAAAAACAATTTCTAAGTAATGAACTTTATTATCTTGAAGAACTATAGTTTGCACATGAGTGTCTACAGGCCATTTTATTAGACATCCAAGGTCATCTCATATGTTTACATATAGATATAATTATACATTTTATTAATTTAGCTCAGAAACGTGGCCCTTAAAATAAACAAGAGCCATGATGGATAATGGGCCTTTTTCTACAGACAAATGCATTTCTTCGCCATGACCCAGTAACAGATTTGCATTCTGTCTACTTGCTTGACTAAGAAGATATCTTCATTTAAAAACAGGACTCTCATGAAGTTGGACAGTTACAGTTTGCGTCTATGAAGCTAGATCACACACACATTCCCGGAGACAGTTCTGAAGGGCCGAAAATAAAACACAACTTTCTTTTTGAAAAGTTACATTGACCTCATTCCTTAAGCCTTATTCATCACTCATCCATTCTTTGACAGGACACACTACTTACAGACTTGTAAATGAACTAACGTGCTTGTAGGAAATACAAAGAACATGTTAATTACAAAATAAATAATTAAAAATCTAAATGTGTTTTTATCTGGTGGTGCTAAGTTCCTGGTGGCACTAGTGCTGTTTGGAGCATTTTAAGCAGGTTAGTTTGATCAAGACCCAAGTAAAAATGGACAATATTCTAAATGTATGTATTTTAGAAACCATTCTAGATATTTAAATTTATAGTACGACAATTATTGATAGACAGAACTCAGTCATGGGACGGAATCTACGGTTGTCTTTCAAACTGTCTTCTCATTCAGTTGGACAGCACTAGGACCAATCAGAGCACTGGACAATGCTATTTATCGCTATGGCAATCAATTGGGCAGTCTGCCATGCATACTTTTTCGAAACAAAGGCGTAAGTACCTTTATCTTCTCATGTCTCAAATAAAAAGCCCAAATCTAAGTAATCAATAGTTTATGCTCAAGTTATCGCAAATGACCGGAATTCCTGAGCCAACACCATCCTTGTAGTTTTTCAGTGGGGCAGATCTGGTGCTAAGCCCACCAAACAATTCTCTACAGAGCGCTGTGATTGGCGCAACCCAAAATCGTTCAACCCAATGGTAGAGCATGGCTAGACCAACTTACAGAGCAAAATCTGTTGCTCCTGCTATGGTTTGTCTAGATTTTTGTTAACAATTTTACACACCAAGTAAATATTTCTTTTGTCAAAAATAGGTACTTCATTTTGTCAACCAACTTTTGTGTGATGTAAAAGCAATGGCAGCTCAACACCACCCCAGCCTGTGTGCGAGTCTGGTGATTCAGCAGTTAGTCTTACATGTCTCCGTCTTCTCAGGAGACAAATGTTGTTTGATACCTTTGCTCACTGCTGGCTCAGAGATTACCCATAAAGCCTGGTCTGTCCCAGAACCATGCCTCCAGGGTAAGAGGCTCCTTCTTCCTTCTCTACTCCCCTTCCCACCCCCACCCGAACAGGCTCTTTTCATGGCTGCATCCGTGAGTTGCTGTGCATACAAAGTGGGCAGTGTTGAGTCAGTACTTCTCCCTCTGACCTCAGAGAGCTTTGCAAACCCTTCAAGAGCACTTTCTGTTTTCAAAAGCGATGAGGGGAAGGATGAGAATGAAGAAAAAGGACACTCAACTGACTTTAAAATCTCTTTACCCTTTAAGAAGCCGTTCTACGTGTCTTTTTTGACTGATGAATATTAAGGTGGCAGAAAACTTACAAAAAATTTATTTTTCCATTAGCCTGGCAAGTCATCCTATAAATTTATAGTCTGGCCACAACCCATAGACGGAGCTTAGTCTTGGGCTGGAATCCACATCAGTCAACAAGGCAGTCCGCCATACGCAGTTGAAGATGCAAATACATCTTTTTTCTAAATACACTTAAGTACCTCTATCTGCTCTTTACTCAAAGAAAAGTCCAAGACTAAATAGTCCGAAGTTGATGCCAACGTTGTTTCAAACGAGCCATCGCCATCTTAGTTGTTCTACTCCATCACATCATCCTGCCCACCAAACTGATAGAGCTCTGTGACTGGCAAGACACAAGACTGGCCGGGCCTGCTGAGAAAATAATTTTGCCTCAGTTGCTTTCTGCCTAGATTTCTAGGCCATTTTTCATAGCTTGTATTTCTCCATCATAACATCCTTTTCTGCATCTGACTGTGACTTTAAACAGATTTTGGTTTCAGTTGCTTATTCAGCTTCTAGTAAATATAAAAAAGGGAAATGTGACAGCTTTTATTCGGTGCAAAAAAACAAACAAAAACTCCAGACTGCATCATGCATTTCTTTTAGTTCTAAATAGATCGAGTTGGAATCAAAGTGCACGTTTCTGATAGTACTTCATCTAAAATAAAGATTATACGCATTTTGCAAGTTTCTAATGCACAGTTTTACTGAGGCTGTAAAATGGATGCAGATACAGTACGGATACAGTTTATGTACATTAAATATGTATAATTATGCTACAACAAGCACAAACGTGTGTCTTTATCAGTACAGAATTAAACATTCTGGGATGTTTATTCAAAGCGGTAAAAGGTAGAGATTTTAATAACACTGCTCAAACAGTACAGTTGCCAGAGTTAATAGCTCAGTGTAATCTTTCATAAAAGAGGCCAATATGCAGCTTTTGTTTTGTTGTCGTTTTGGCGACCCAGCTAGTCCGTGATTGCTTAGCATGTCTGGAGATAACAGAACTGTTGAATTCAAGCTTCCTAAATTCATTCAGTCATCGCTCTAGTGAGTGAACTGTTTTTGCTGCTTTTTTCCTCTCCTCATTGTGCTGTCAACATTATTAATGATGTGCCTCTACTGTAAAAGGTCAATTCACTAATTGCACTTTGTAAAAAAAGAAAGTGTTTATATTATTTGTTAATGTAAATAATTAGAGAAGATAAGGCATCCTGTTTCTGCACTTGCCCATTTCATATAATGGCATGGTAAAATTGACTTTTATTCTATGCGTTCTCCTTTCTGCCCTTTTTCAGGGAAGATTCTGTTTAGGAGGAGCCATATTCGAGATGTGGCAATGAAGAGACTACGGCCCATCAACGAGTACTGCAGGGTGAGTTTATCAAAACCGCTGTTTCAGTACTACTTATGTCTTATTGAGCATGCCTATCCTCAGTAACAAGTGTTAAAGTCAAAGTATTTTCAAAAATGTTGTATTAACTATATTATGACCTGGATGGAGGATGCCTTGAAAGCAAGTACTTCAGTAAAAGATGTAATCCTACGGAATCTTCTGGTATCACTATGTGTGTGTGTGTTAGAAAGAACAACGCACTTCAGCTCATTCCACCAGTAAAAGTACAAACTTGTGTTTTTAGCTCATTACAACAGTTTCAGACAAACATATTAATCACTTGGCTATGAGAAAATGTGTACATGTGTATTTTTTCTAGCTCCAAATAAAACTATCAATACTGATCATACATCAGCTTCAGTTTGATAGATATGCAATTACTACAAACCCAATGAGTACATGTTAATTGATATTCAGTGGTAGCAACACTTTTCTAGGGTTTGGAACTATTCATCTATAATAATAATAATAATAATAATAATAAATCATCATCAAACTTATATAGCACTTGTTTAGGACACTCAAAGACGCTTGCATGCACTCTCACATTCACACACTGCCAGTGATGGTAAGCTACTTGTAGCCACAGCCACCCAGGGGCGGTCTGACAGAGGCGAGGCTGCCATTTGACGCCGTCGGCCCCTCTGACCACCACTAACACAGGCAAGTTGGGTGAAGTGTGCGTAAACAGTGGTTTCTCAGCTGGTGTTGTATGTCGGCCTATGGTGGTTCTGATCTGCAGCGTTGTAGTGGTGACAAAAAAAAAATCCTGTTGGTGAGCTTCCCCCAGTCATCATACCACAAGCTGTAGGTTAAGTGTTTTTTTCTCTCCAATATTCTAAAGACTAACAACTTTGAATAGTGTGTACTTTAAATTAGTCAGTGTTCACCAGTGCCTTTATTTTTATTTGTTGTTTTTTACATTATAATATCTCACATGGAACTCATCAGTATCTTTTTTTTCCCCCTAGCTAAAAACAATTCATGAGGCCCACAGGTGAAAGGATTTTTTATGCATGATAAACAATCTTGAAGACTGGAGGGCCCCTTGTCCTCCAGAGCTAAAGGAATGTACAGCTGATGCAGCAACATCTTTAACCACTTATGTTAAAAATAAGAGCTTGGGGGAGGAACTGGTTGAGTAGTCAGTTTGTGTCCGTGGGTGGGGGTGTTTTATGGGGATTTTTGAGCCTATTCAACATCTGCTTATTGCCTCCATTTGTGTCAGAGTTCATTACATGCAAAATATTTGACCTGTTTAGTAGCTGATCTAGAATGGCTCATCAGTGGCATCACTTGAGTTGAGAGGGGCACAACTACACAACAGCCATCTTCAAATGGTAGATGCTATTCACTGACCAACTGTCACCATAACTTGTCATTATGAAGTTGTGTATCTTTTTTTTTTAACAGTGCTTGTGCGATTCTTGAGTCAAATGATTAAATGTATTTTTTTGTGGATTCATGTTTGACAGAAGTCACCAAAAGAATCTTGTTTCCATACCATTGTTGATACAGTTGATAAAGAAAGGAACCTCCGTATATTTTTCTGATGCATCTAAACATAGGTTACATGTATCTTGAAATTCTGACTGACTAAAACATGCACATGTTCAGGTACATTTTTCAATTTTTTATGTTTGAAAGAAACATTCTGATTATTAAACTTTAACGAAAATAAGGCACACTCAAAGAATCACAGAAGCATTAGTAGCAGAAATCCAACAGCAGGTTCTAAAATTACCTTAAAGTAACACTGAGCAGTTTTCTGCTCCTCCGCCCTACTGGTTGAAAGTGGAATTACAACTGTTATAAACAACCCTGCCACAGCCTGCTGTGGCTAGCGCTAACAACGAGCTAGCACCACCATGAGCCAGCTAAGAATAAAATAAGCCAAAAAATGAAAAGATTTACACTGTTGAACAAAAAAATATTATTACTTACAAATCCAGTAGCATCAAAGCCAGGTGATCCAAAGGAGTTTGAATGAAGGCAACTGGAGTTTTTTGGCTTCTTGAAGACATTTTGCTTCTCATCAATAGCTGGTATATGAGAGAGTCAAGCTTATAAATCACCCCAGAGTAGTTGCTGGTGTCATTAGGCTCTATTGTGTGGGGATGGTTGTTTTGATCAGATGTAGGAGGGTGTGATCTGGGCTGAAACTGATTTGGAATTAGGTTTAAAGCTGCATTGTAGGTGCTGGAAAGGTGAAACCTGAGGCCTCCTTCAATATTTAATGTAGACAGGTACAGTTTATGAGCTTGACCCATATTCCAGTCATAATTGACAAAGCTCCTCCAATGAGAAGCAAATCATTTTCACGAGACCAAATAATTCCAGTTGCCTTCATTCAAACCCCTTTGGATTACCATGACATAGATGACTGAGAACCTTCACCGGCATAAAGCCAGGTCACCATCAGTCCATGATTTTGGAGCCTCCTTTAGCTCCCTCAAACTGGCGTAGAACGTGCCGATGTTCACTCTGATTATAGTGATTTGCTTCCCCTCCAAAGACAATACTCTCTCACTTTTACTTCCAGGCTCCACCATGGTGAAAATAAAAAAGCAAACTTCTTTTTCTTCTTGTGCTTTTTATTGACAAATTGGCAAACTGTAAAAGCTAACAACTAGCATAACAGCTAACAGCCGTAAAGCAGGTAAAGCCTGGAGCTACCTGCTCCACAAAACTGTTAATTGCAGTATCTGGCCAGTAGAGGGCTGCAGAGTGCTGTTGAATTAAACTGGTTAAGTCTCCAACTCAATATTCACTGAAGTCAAGTCAAGTCAAAGTCATTTATTGTCATTTCTACCACACGGACGGGTTTCCACAGCATCTGTCTGCATTCCTTCCTTCGTGGGGGTTGTTGTTAGCAGCTTCAAGGCCGCCGTGGCATCAGATTAGGATAACAAGACCGTGTTTGGGTCAGGCAGAGATAATTTTCCCCTCAGCCTTCAGTCTGTAACTGGTCATTCCAGTCCTTCAGTGAAGCCAATTCGGGTTATTAAACATCTCCACACCGTCTGGTGACCCTCTCCGAGATGACATCCATTTTGCGCACTAACACTGGTAACGCAGCTAAGACATTGTCCAGCTTACGATTGACCTCGAGTAACGTCCCGGTCTGTGAGGTCTCCGCCCGGACGGTGCTGTCCATGGGTACGGGTCGCCCTCCAATTGCTCCCGTCTTCCCAATTTTTTGGAAAACCAGATATCCTCCCACTCCAATCAGAAGAAATCCAGTGATCATCAGGCCAAATATCCACATATCTTTGACGTCCTCAATGGACAGCTGAGAGAGACAGACGACCTTCCACTCCTTCCAGGAATCGAGCATATATCCCGCTGCGTGTGTCCCATGAGGGCAAGTGGGAGCCCCCTCCTCCGTTCTCATCGTAGAAAAAATCTTATCAATCGCGTTGAATGACCAATTAATTAAATCCATTTCTGAAAAATAAGGATTTCCAGAGGAAATGCAGAGAAGCGCTCTGTAGGCAGACAGGACAAAAGAGCCTTGGGAAAAAAAGATAAGGGAGCAAAGCAGAAGTGTCTGTGCTCTGTGAGTGCCAGGAGAATAAATCAATGTTAAAGCTCTACCTTAAACAGAAAAAAATATATAGTGTTACTTTAATTTAATGAATTTTGTTAACCAGCTCACCCATGAAATAAACCATTATATATAAGAAATAAGCCAGGTATCTAATGCAAAACATCTCAGTAAAACTAATCTGTAACCAAACAACACAACAAAATCCCAAAATATTGCAAGTGAAAATAATGCACAATACAATATCTTTTAAACAACAAGCATTAGACAAACAGCAACTTTTTCCCAAACAGCAACATTTCAGAAAAAACATTTTGGGCCACGCCCTGCCAGGTCAGCTGAGTGAGTACACATCCACACAACACAGCAGCAGCAGAAATGCACACACATTTTATAATCTTCAGAGATTTTCTTACCACCTGCATCTTTGGGATTTTTAGATGTTCTTTTATCCTAATTTAGTGCAGTTGCTTTCTTTCAGCTGCTGACACACCCACAGTGCTACCCTTCACTTTTATAGTCCCAGTACTATTAGGTGTGTGCATGATGGTTCCTACTGCCTATATGCTTGACTTGACACTAACAGCTAGATTTGTTTACATTCTGAAATGTGAGGGGTTACAAAACGTGTCTGAAATGAAACTTTTGCTGGTAGCTGGTAAATGTGAGGGCTTATGCTGATTGGAATGCTCCCAAGCTGGTATTTAGCTAATGAGGTAACTAATTACTTTATTTTTTTTATTTGGAAGCCAACAAGATGACCAACAGCAGATGGCAGAACAATCTAACAGACATAAACTCAACATCACATTTGCTAGACCAGTATTTTATTTTGAAAAGCTGAGCTTGGGGCTGCGTGGCCTGTGCCCACTAATAGCATTCTGCCCATGAACATTGTGATTTCAATGGTTCATTATTTAAAAGATAGTCCTTTGGCCAGCCCTAATCGCTGGTGTCTCAAGAGGATTTGGGTGACAGAGCTTATATTTTGATGTATTTAGATTATATTTTATATAATCCACTCGGTTGTAGAATGTACATTTTACAGTAATATTCTAAAATGAGCAACTATTTTCCACGGATTATTTAAAATGAGCAAAGAGCTTAACAGTGACATCCGGTGGCCCTAAGTGCACACACACCACAGTGTGGTATGCATACTTAAAAGGGATACTAGGCCGTTTTGGCTTGCTTTTAGCGCCCCCTAGTGTTCAGTTACTTAAATCAAAAGTGAAAGCCATCGCCTTGCTGTGCGCTCATTATTTTAACATCTTAATCTAACAGCTGAAATGTAACAGCCTTCATTAGTTTCTACGGGAGTGTTAAGGGTCATTTTAGCACATACTTGCTCAAGAAAATGATTTTAAAATGTGAAAAAGTTGCATAGTTTCCCTTTCAAACAGCACATAAACTTTGTACGTTCTACTTTCAAATTCCACTTCAGGAACAGATGTGGCATTTTTTTCCCTCATTCATTTCTACATATAGCTCAGTTTGACAAGGTGAAACTCAGTTATTTATTTTTCTTTCTTTTTGTTTGAAGAGATGAGTCAGCTCTTGTGTTGCACAGCTGAGGTTTTATCCTGACTCAATGGAATTTCCCTGGTTGTGCAGTTTGTATCCATTTCAGGAAGCTTCTTTGGTTGAAAGAAAGTTACAAAAAATAAGAGAGAAAAACTAGAAAAGGAAAAACAAAACTAAACAACACAAAGAAAACTGTTTAGAAATTATTTATCCAATCATGCAAACCTTGTTTTTCATGTTGAAACACTTGCAACAAAAACCAGAAATGTCAAAACCATCACTAAATGTTATCTGGGCCTGCAGGGGTTTCATTCACTATTTGTCTTCATCAGGATTCTGTACATGGACTTATCCACAATGCACCGTCTTTTATGAAAGTAGGTCTTTTAATTCCATTACATATTTTATCTTGGAGAACACACACACACACACACACGCTGTTTTATGCAAGTGTGCATGCACACACACCCACTCACACACACACACACATACACGGGCTCTTACAATTACCTTAATGTCCCCCCCACTCCCCTTCCCTCCACTAAAGAACACCCATAAAGTCGATTTGATGTAATTTACCCTGAGCCTCCCTCCTGTCTCCCCTCTGGGGAGAATTGTAATGAGTAGACGGGCCACAGGCTGACATAGGGAGATAAATAATTCCAAAGGGAAGATAACTAGTTAAGGATGCACTCTGACCTGAGACACAGCTCTACACTCTGGACTGCAGGACTTGATCTTACACAGCTACTCTGGCAACGATCGTTAAAAAATCGTGGAACAGATACACTTAAAGGTATTGTAAAACAATCAACTTCATTTAAAGTAGTGCTGCACTGAAAAACCATTTTTTATTTATTGTTGGTCACTGAGTTTTTCATGCAGACTGAACATGTAAAAAATCTTCTACCTCTATTTCTGCTATAGGATTTTAAAATCCTGACAGATGTAGAAGGGGTAAATATGTCGCTTTTAAGCTTAATATATTACCTTATGACCAATAAGATGTGACATTCTATATAAATATAGGATATCACTCTGATTGGTCTTTGAATGTTTAATCAGAAGACTAGGATTCTTTGCTTTTTCAGTGATCAAACACACTTCGTATCAATTCAGAGTCAAGTTTATAAAATGTAAGACATTTATTTTCTAAAATTAAAAACAAGACAAGTTATAAATAAGACGAATGTGATGGATGAATATAAGTAGATGGAATGTGATGTCTGATGATGGAATGGTGTGTGATGTTTATCAGAACCTTGTTTCTAGAAGAAACTGAGTTCTGGGTGTGAAAAGAATTTGTGGTTGTTATAAGCTAAAGAGTTGATTTAGCAAAACCACATCAGACGCAATCATGCTGTGTCTACCTCACCCTTTTTGGAGACCTTCTTTACGGATCCAGAGGTCAGGAAGGTCGGATGACCTCTGGGCACCGAGGTTCCGTAGATTAACCGCAGCACCGACCACTCCAGTCCAGAGATGTCATCAGGTACTACAGGATGGAACTAGTTTGCGTCTAGAACAGCTGTTTCTGAGTAGCTGAAGGAGCAAGTTTCTGTGTCGCTGTAGCGTGTAGCAGGTTTTGACAGCTCGACAAGAGATGCTATGGTTAGAGGGTTTTGTCTGGTGGCCAGTCTGGAGTTCCGATATTCCAATATTATGATTACATGGCCAACCAAGACAAAAGAGGTTAAGAGGAGTTAACAAACAAACCTCAGAACACAAGCCTTTTCAGACATAGGATGCTCTGATTTGTGGGTAAGAAAATGTCTATGTGCAGTGACGTTAACTTTAATTTATATCTTATGAACATTGCGTATGAGTGTAGATGATGATTCACTTGTTAAACCAAACGTTACTGATCATAACATCAAAATGTTTCATTGTAATATAAAAATTCATTTCAACTTCATTGAATTAGGCACAGATTATTCAAACATTAATATTATTATTCATATAACATTTGTTCATTCAACCATATTATTTAATGATTATTTAACTTATGAGTTGTAAAAGTTCATCTTTCATGAGAGTGTGCAATCCTGCAGTCTTAGGCTGCCGTCTTGTGCCCCTGAAATGTCAACACACACTGCAGAATCTTCTGGGCTTTAGAAGACAGAATAGAAACTCCACTCAGATAGTGGAATTAGGTCTGTAGATGACCGGACATTGTGTAGGTCAATATGTAGGTGAAAATTGACCCTTTCTGGATGTTACACAGATCTTCGTCACACTGTCACCAAACATTCATGGACTCACCCATCTTAACTTGTGACGGGGAAGGCTGTTGGTCTAGCGTCCAGGAAACAGCAGAGACGGTCTTCTAGTAGCATTAGCATTAACTCTTTCACTGCCAGCCCTTTCCCCATCAGAAAAGCCCTTTGCTGCCAGCGTTTTTCAGCGTTTTTACTGTTGTTTTAAGAGTCACAGAATGTTGCACTTTATGATGATGTCAACCCCAAAACTAACAAAACAAAGAGTACACCTTACATCAGGAAGAATCCGCACGTTTAGAGCGTTAACTGTTCTTTCATAATCCGTTGTCGAATTGTGATCAGCTGAAACTTTCCGGTTCGCTCCTGACTTTTTTTTTTACAGCAGCGGCTCAAAATGATCTCCTAACGCATGGATTTTCTGCTTCCTGATCATGTGACATGTGACATACGCGGATGAAGATCAGCTTTAGAGCTGGGATGTTTGTTCTCACTGTGCGGGGGCTCGTTCTGACGCATTCAGTAAAAAAATGCAAGTGACGACTTTAGTTGTCATTAGCAGGTTGGATTAACGGTTGGATTTAAAACGACGACTTTTGTCGTCAATGGCAGTGAATGAGTTAACATTAGCATTAGCAACTTCACCACAAAGCAGAACTGCTTCAGGATTTTGTAGAGGTAACACATCAATGTTGCAAAACAAACAGTCAGTGGTAGAGTCGTGTTGATGTTATCCAATCAGAGGCGAGATGTCCAAACATTACTGCTCAACTCTTATCTGACTCACTTCTAGTTCCTGAAACAGGTGCACCAAAATTAAAGATATGAGTTAAGTACCACTTTAATCACATGTATATCATCAAAATGAACAGAACAGTGCTTTGTTGATGGTAATGCCACTCCATCTGATCCAAGCCAAGCAGCTGGATTGGATCGGCAGCTGTAAGGATGACAAGGCAAAAGCAGCGCACAGGACAATGACATTTGGGTTGGGCCTTTGGCGTCCGTTTCATATTCATCAACCCCAACATTATGCCAGCGTGTGATAGACATTGTTAGAGGTTGACACTGCTTCTTTGAAGGACAAAACCGAAGCACTTAGCAGTATTAAAATCAGAGGTAGAGGCCAGCAGAGGAAGCTTGATAGATGGTGTTGAGTTTTAGCTTGCCAGCATTCAGACGGAGTGCCCTAGCTTTATCAGAACAAAGATGTGGTCCTCGTAGTCAATGTTAACAGCTGCATGGTTTCCTCTTTCAGACATCGAAGCTGTTGAGGTGATTATCTGCTTTAGTTTCACCGCTGCTGGTCAGACAGTGCTCAAATGAAAAGAGACTTAGTTTGGAAGATAAACTGTCTGAATGGGAGCAAAATTGCACCAAAACGTGGGTGTTTTTTCTGTGCTGTTAGGAACAAACTTGCTTTTAGAGATCCTCTAAAGAATTTGGTAACAAATCATAAGAAATTATAGGAAGGCAGTAGATCTTTATGATTATTATTGTTAGACATAAAGCCAGCTACTAAATGGTAAAAACTCATTGAGGAGAACTAGTGATGCTTATTGAGTTGTTGGGATGACAAAAGTCCAACAATCCAATCAAACAAGAATCTTCACCAAATCAGGAAACATCAACAGGATGTTGTTACATTATCTAGCAGTGGTTTCTAATCTTGCTGATGACCCACTTTCTTTTGTGCTCGTAGGCTTTGATCCAACTGCCAGTCTACATTTCCCAGTGTGAAGAGGTCAGAGTGTTTTTTGAGACCAGACCTGAAGACCTCAACCCACCCAAAGAGTAAGAACCACACATTAATGTACTCAGCAATAAAAACCCCAGGTTAGCATGCAGTAGCAAAATACTTTTCTTCTGGCTCAAGTCACACCCGTCAGCATTTTACATCAATGCTTCTGGTAATGAGCAATCATTACACCATTTAGTAATTGCAGTTTCATAATGTCACACTCCTTTCTGGTAATTTTTTTTTATTATTTAAAGAAGAATCACTCTTTTTTTTTAATGCTGATTCTGCTTTTCTGCATGTTGCTGCAGCTCAGGCTCAGATAGCTGACGCGGCAGGTTTTTCTTAACATTTGTAGACCTGCTCTCTCAACTCCTTCAAATCAGCATATTAACGTCAATTTTGGCACTGACAGTAACTGGGTGTCTACAAGCACACATTTACTGAAAAACACCTTTAACTTTGCACATAAAACTTGGTTGCAAATTAGTGGTTAAGAGCACTTGTCCCTTTGGGGGAAATGAGGTCACATTTTGGCATCAACAGCTGTCAGCTGGAGCATTATTAGTTTAACCCGTCATCACGTAAATGTATTTGGTTTTGAGAAGCTGCCTATGTAAGCAGAAAATAGGGAAAATAAGTCTAGTGACCCATGATGAAAATTCACATTGTGCAGCTATAAAATTGTGCAAGGTATCCTATCAAATGTAGAGTGACTGCCACTGAGTAGAGTTAACAGCTAGGGGTTGTTGACCAAGGGCAATCGATAAGAACGGCTATGGGGAATGAATGGGAAATTGGCAATTGTGTGTTGTCATCTATATTGTAGAAGTCACTTTGAGGTTTGCCTTCCGCATTTTCTTTTGAAGTGCAGTTAATATTAAAGCAGACAAAGGAATGACTTCTTGTCTGACATACTAAACAGGAGGTAGAGGTGTGTAAAAGGTGAGAAGCTGTTGAAGAGGAGGAAGAGGAGGAAGTAGCAATAAAACAGAAAGTGTAAAATAAGCATTGTAAGATGACTTAGAAAAGTTAATGAATGTTAAGAATTATTTTATACAAACACAAATGTGTTTTTGTTGGATGAAATAATTCAGGACTCCTTAAGCGTGGTCTCTAGACCTCATCTGTACTCCATACTATCTAGGATACCTACATCTCCAACTTGGGTTTTCATTACTCAATTTTTGTAGCCTGGCAACGCTCCATTGACGGCTCTCGGTCGTGGGGTGGGTTCAACCATTGTCGTTCAAACGATCTCCGCATGCTAGTGGACAATGAACAATGTGACATACTCACTTCAATGGATGTCAGTAAACGAGGCAGTCCACTGTTGAACAAGGTGAAAATACATCTGTTTTCTTAAGAAATGACTAAAATACATCCATCTCTTCTGATTCTAATAAAGCCCAAGTCCAAAAAGTCCAAAACTGACCTAAAAGCTGTTTCAAACAAGCTGTCACCATCTTGTTCCACTCTGTCACATCATCCCACCCACCAGATGAATAAAAGGGCCTGATTGGCCCACAAATGCTATAAAGTGCTGTGATTGGCCCACAAAACAGCTGCAGTGCTGTGATTGGCCAACCATTGTGGACCAATCACAGTGCTCTGTCGGTTTGTAACCCCTATAGAGAGCTGTGATTGGCCTGCCAGAATGCTTATAAGGGCTGTGGAGGTTTTAATGGAGCATTCCTAGACCAAACTTTGCAAAACAAGAATTTGGTTTAGTTCACTAGGCTACCATGTTTGAGCTTCACCACTCTATCCGGGGTCTTCACCACACAAACCTGGGTTTTTACGTTCTGATCTGAGGTCCCTTAGCCTAGAAATCTAGACAGACAGAAAGATATCAGTCCAGCCTTGCTCCATAGGAGCCTCAGCAGGCCCGAACGGTCTTGTGCCATTCTAGCCACAGCGCTCTTATTGGTTTGGTGGGTGTGATGATGCGACAGAGCAGAACAACTATGGTGGCGTTGGTTCATTTGAAAGACTTTTCTGATTTACTTTGGACTGTTTAGACTCTGTGTTTTCTTTGAGTCAGGAGCAGATAGAGATATTTAAGTCCTTTATTTAGAAAAAATATGTATTTGCGTTTTCTTTAATAGTGTAATGTGGACGGCCCCACTGACAGCTGTAGCGGGGAGTACATCGCATTGTTTGTTGTCCAGTAGCATGTGGAGACTGTTTGAAAGACAATCATGGATTCTGCCCCACTACTGAGCTCTCTCTATGGGTCGTAGCCAAAATCTATATTCACGAATATAGAATGGTTTGCCAGGCTATGGGTCCCCTCCTCCCTAACTAAGGTCCTCATCACCATAACTTGGTTTTCCACCAGCCTACCTTTGGTCATAATCACCGTATTTACAGTAGGTTCTTCACCACCCCATATAGGATGTCTATATCTCTAAAATGGGTTTCATTACATTTGTGGGCTTTCCATACACTATCTTGCATTTTCACCTCCCAAACCTGGGTACCCACCATCCAAATTGGGGTTCCCACATCCTCAACTCTCAACTCCCTAACTAGGGTCCCCACCAACCTTACTGGAGTGTTCACCACATTACCTTTGGTCATCACCACCCTAACATGGTTCTTCACCACCATGACTGAGTTCCCCGCAACTCTAACTGTTTAGGGTCATTACCCTAACAATGGTCCTCGAAAGCACAATCACTGAAAGTTTGTTAAGTGGGGCTGATAAGGATCAAACTTTCAGCAGATAGCTGATTTATAAACATTTTTTGATGTAAAACAATCTTAGGTTACCATCTTCTCAGTGAAGAGATTGGTAAAGACACATTCCTTCTTACTCTACACACAAAACCTCAAGCATTTTTAGGGAAGGGCAGAGAAGGAGCTTTTATTCCTGATGGAGACAAATATAGGAAAGTCCTTGGTCTGTCTGTATTGAAATTGGATTACAACCGTCTATTAGTGCAGACTATTGTTTGGCTGACTGACAATAAGCCTGGTGCACAGACACAGCATCTAATGAGGGGAGCAGATTTATCATGGCCTATAAATCCACTGCAGTGAAAGAAACATGTCAGGCTTTTTCTTAAGGGATGCAATGAAAAAACGTCCAAAATTAGTTTGAAAGAGGAAGAAGACTATCACAAAATGGGAAGAGATTAGAGAGAAAGGAGGAAATCTGATGAAAAAAGGAAGGGTTGTATTTAGAGTGAGACTTAGAAAGGAAAAAAATAAAGGGGGATTGTTGATGGAACAGGCAATTTAGTTGGTCAATCAAGATGGACAGATTATACGAATTAGGACTATGGTATAAAATTATTCATTTAATCAGCTGCCGACATTAGTCACACTGAGTATTAGTTCAAAACTGGTTAAAATAATCCCACCTACTCATTTCTATTTGTGTCTCGCACAAAATGTGACCCTAATTTCTTCTGTGTAAAAAGATTTTAAAATGGGTTTATGCACTTTCCTCCATATTAATCAACAGTATTGGTACTGCCCTTGCCTGCCTTGATATGTTATTTTTATAGTACATTAATGGGAGGGATTTATTGAGACTTGAGTCTCTACAATTAACATATCACCAGATCGAACAATGCTTTACGAGGCCAAGAGCATTTATATTGATACAAAGAAATGGCTAAGAAGTAGCTGCCAAGAAAAATTATTGAGGGAGATGAAGGAGTGAGCTGAAGTAGATGTGGGATGGAAAATGGAACGTGATAGAATGCCATCAAGTAAGGTCGAAGTATTCAGATAGAGAGGAGAGAGAGAGTGAGAGAGATGCTTTGCGTTAGTCTCTAAGCATCTGGTTGTTGAATCAACTCCTGACTGCTGCTGTGGAGAGATGGGCCAAGTTATCCGGCTAATGTCTAAACCAGACACAGCAGATGCTGTGCTGAACTCAAGATCAAGCCAAATCTTAGAGCTCAGCTTTTGAAGCTCTTTCTCTGTTGGCCTGGGTTGTAGCTGAAAGCAGATTCTGATCCTTTAATATCTTTGTTGCACTGCAGTAATTTTACAAGCTAGGAAAATTATAATTGTTGGCTATTTTAAAAAAGTGTATGTATTAGATGGGCTGTCATATAATTTTAAACCATAATAATGTTTTTTTTTCTTAATGTTTAGACAATTTTAAGTGATTAAAAACAGCTGTTTTGGTTTCTTTTTGTATGTGTGTGTGATTTATGAGATCGGTAGGTTTGTAGGAATTTTCAAAACTACAATCAAGCATGGACTTTAGAAGTGGGGGGGACACAACCGGCATGAGGACTGGGGGGGCGGCTTGACAGTATGTTCTAATGGGAAACAGGCTTCAACACAAACGGTTGTTTTCCGCTTGGTCCTAGAGCTCAGCCAGTGTCTATTTATTATAGCATAATTGTTTTTGGACGGTACAAAGTGCAGGGGTCAAAACTTGACTTTGGAAAAATTATATCCATGCAATCAAGAGAAAGTTCCTTGAAAGAGATTTTTTGTTGGAGATTAGGGATGCACCAATATGAAAATTTTGGCCGATTTTTGGCCGATAGCGATAACCAAAATTAACATTGCTGTTACGGCAGATAACCTATATATATATATATATATATATATATATATATATATATATATATATATATATATATATATATATATATATGTGTGTGTATATATATATATATATATATATATATATATATATATATATATATATATATATATATATATGTGTGTGTATATATATATATATATATATATATATATATATATATATATATGTGTGTGTATATATATATATGTGTGTATATATATATATATATATATATATATATATATATATATATATATATATATAATTGCATTTATTCAATCACAAATCTTTATTTATTAATTAATTTTTTCTCATTTTAACCATGTAGCCTCCAGAAGTGGTCTTTTTTCAATCTACAGGTCACCTCTTCGGTAACGGCCATTTGGAGACATAAGTCTCCAACTGGAGCTTTAATCTACAGAAGAGACTGTTGCTTCAAGGTCCTTCCAGGCTCACTCTTATCTAAGACTGGTTTTTATTCACAGCACAAGACAGAAGAACTTTTACAACTCATACATTAAATAATAATTTGGTTGCTGAACAAATGTTGCTTGAATACTAAATGAAATGTTTTGATTAGTCTGTGAAATGAATATATTATTACATTGAAAGATTCATATATGATGATCAGGATTGTTGGATTTAATAAGTGAATCATTATCTACACTGAATATCTCCTCATGACTCAAGGTTAATGTAATTGCAGACACATAGATATTTTCTTCAAGCATTCAAGTTATGAGCATAACTTCGACTGGCCATCGGAGGGAAACTCTAACCATCGCATCTACAGCTGACACCGCAAACGGTTCCTTCAGAACCAAGGCGAGACAACTTCAACTCCTTAAGAGTTATTTCTAAGACGCAAACAACTGTGCGACCTGGAGAGATCTCAGGACTGACTTGGTCACCTCGCGATTATCCTACTAACCTCGAGGCACTGGGGTCAGCAGACCCCCTGACATTTCAGATCCAATCGGGGGTCTCCAGAACGGGTACGTGGGCTCACAAGATTGTGTCTGATGTGGTTTTAGAAACCATCAATTAGTTTAGAGCAAACCAAATTCACTCCCACTCAGAACTCACTTCTCCAGATATGAAGGTTCTGATAACATCACATTCATACATCATCGCACCTCACATTCCATCCGCTCAGATTCATTCATCACCTAAGTGTTTCCTAGTTGTCATGTTTTTAATTGTTTAGAAAATAAATTCTTTCTTCTTACTTTTTATTAACCTGGGCATTGAAAGACCAAGCAGGTTGATATTCTATATTTATATAGAATATTACATCTTCCTGGTCATAAGTGAAGGTAATATAATAAGCTTAAAAGCAACAACATTCACCTCCCTACAACTATATGTTTTAATCATTTTTTTGTATTTAGAATTTTTTGTTCTTGTGAAGTGCCTCATGATTTTTATCTTGAGAGGTGCTTTCTAAAAGATTTTTTTCTTTTTCTTTTCAAGCTGAATTTTATGTCTTGCTTTATTTCTATAAAGTGCAAACAAGATTGTTTTTTTTTGGTTGGTAATTAGGGATGTCTGTATATAATAACACACACACACACACACACACACACACACACACACACACGCACACACACACACACACGCACACACGCACGCACGCACGCACGCACGTGTGTGTGTTATTATTTACAACCACCACACACATTTTTGCTTCTGAGATGATTACATCACTGTCACATGACTAAACAGCTACACGTCATCACCCCCTCACCCGCTGAAACAGATACACAAACAGGAACATTTTTAAAAATTATTGTTTAATATCGGCCCAGTTTTACTTATCGGACTGATACGATATGTTAAAAAAATCACTAACATCGGCCAGTACTGACATTGATGCCAATATTTTGTGTATTGCTATTGGAAATACAGGGATGTTTTCCAGGAATGTCCAATTACTCCAAATTAGTTTTTCTAAAGTAATGCAATGGTTTCTTTTCTTTTAACAGGGAACCCATTGGAAAGAAGAGGGCAGGTAAGATACCATTCTGACTGTATAATTCTACATGACTCATGACTTTGGGGTTTATTCATGTTTTAAAGTTGAGTGCAGATAAGGTCAATTCAGATGTTTTGTTTATTTTATAGATTTTGTATGGAGATTATCGCCATCTAGTGGTTAACTTGCATTTAGAAAATGCATCACAACCCATTAATATTTTTTTCTTACCATAATCAAATATACATTCCATTAATACTTAAATGTATTTCAGTTATTAATGGAATAAAGAGTAAAACGTTTTTCTTTCTATAACCTACTCCATTTCTATTCAGTTCACCTGCTCCTCCTAAGTTGCATCCATGTCATTTTTTTCAGTTTCTTCTCCATTCATTTTCCTTTTCATCAGGGTTTGTGGAGAGAACGACTACTTACCTAAAGCGAGGTAGTAAACACACTGTCATGCTCCGTCGTGCTGTGTGTGTAACCCAGTGGGTTACTGGTGGTTCCCTCTTTCTCCTTTCTCTTCCTGGGTCTGGGCTCAGCTAAAGGACTGCTTTGGGCTTGTTTTGAGTCTAAGATGAATTACCATTTTGTGATTTTTAGAGCTAACGCATGGCACTTCTCTCAGCTACATGTCAGTGTTTTTTGCAGTAAAGTAGAGACATAGAAGTTCATCTACAAAAGTGGGTAAACTTGTTGGTATCCTTCAATTAATTTAAAACCAACAAGTTGTATTTAAAATGTTGCTGAAAATGAGCTAATGGAAATTAGACATTGCTTTTGAATTGTGGTTCAACATAATAATGGAAACATGAAAAAAAAAACGTACAATAAAACAAGGCCATGACATATGGGCATGCTAAACTAAGGTGTATCCTGTAATCAGTCTTGTATCTATTTAAGAGCTGTTGATAGTCACAGTGCTGTTTGGCATCAGAATGTGTACCACACTGAATCTAAGCTGCAGAAAGCTCTGAAATCAGAAAGACAATTGTTGGCAGACATTTAGGTAAACTGTGACTATAATTGGACATACTATAAGTCAGAAGTTTTAAGCCCATGGGTCTGTACACAACCTCCATAGACATCAGAGGTGTGGACTCGAGTCACAGGATTTGGACTCGAGTCAGACTCGTCATTATTTTAATGACGTCTGACTTGACTTGATAAAATCTATAAAGACTTACGACTTGACTCGGAATTGAACGCCAATGACTTGCGACTTGAATCGACTTGAACCTGTTGACTTGATGATGACTTGAGTATATTTGATATTTTAGCACAAAAGTGGCACGACATGTACAAAATCATGAATCATTCTTGGTTCTGGGTTTGATCTTGTACTGCTAAATGCACTTTGTTTATAATCAGTTTCAGCTGCACTTTCTGCTTGTTTGAGCAAATAAAAGAAGCTTTAAGAAAAGTTTTTTTCTGGAAATTATTTATTATCATTGTCATTAAATTGAAGTTGGACAGATGACTTGATTACGACCTGAAAATTCAAAGTTGACCAACTTTTCTGAGTGCCGATTTTACTGAATATTTGTGGATATCTAGACAAACCAAACCATATCAGTAGCAAAAAAAAAACCTTTCTCTGCAGGTAGTTGCAGCCACGCTCCATTGTAGTCTAAACAGATCTACCATTGGCCTGGCTACATTTAGGGCAAGCCAGTTAGAGCGTTCTATGTTTATAGAGACATTGGTAGCTATGATTTTTATTGGTTGATTTTGAGTATTTCTTTTTTTCTTGTCATTATTTTGTCAGTGTCAAATTCAGACTTCTTATTTAGTAAGCGTACTGTTTGGTCCATTTTTACTCAAATTCAGAAAAAAATAGGCATTTGACAAAAATATGAGATCTTACAGCTTCACGTGACAAATAAAGAGCTTCATGATAAATAAGGTTACATGTCTGTATGCTAACAAGCTCTAGCTTAGCTTTGCAATGAGAGCCCTCCCTTGTTGAAATTGCCGAGTTTTGTTTGTTCTTCCTACTGAGAAGATTCTAATGATGGTGGTGGGTCTTCCTCGTGATTGGTCATCATGGCGAAATCATGTTCCTGCTAAATAAACCTCCTCTCTCTAGTTTTGAATCCCCATGTTTTATTCCTAACCCCCAACCCCAACCCTTCTGTTTCACTCATCTCATCTTTTCCCTCACACCATCTTTCTAATCACAAATCAGCTTTGCAGATAAGTCTTTGCCTTTCAGAGTGTTTTTGACATTCAATTAAAGAAAATAAAATTTAAAGTCAGCTCATCTTGCAGGACTGTTCTTGTGTCAAAAATCATTTGGATTTTTTTTCCTGGAGCTCTTTAAAGAGCACTTCAAATATGACATTTTAAAAGGTCGTATTATTTTTGGAGAGTTAGATACATAACCTATACATGTCATTTCTTCAAATGGATGTGGTCTTAACTCTCCAAGTTCAGAGACTTTAGCTACATTCACCAAAGACTTTTGAATGTCATAAAAGACCGTGTAAAGGCTTTTTCCTCATTGGGGAGACATTTTGTTTCCATTTTACCGAAGGAGCAGAGAGGAAGTTAAAGAGGAAGTTCTTATGAATTTCGTCATTGTTTAGCAGGAGACTCCAACTCTGCAGACCCTCTCCTCCTCGAACAGTACGTGGCAGTAACCGACTATGAGAAGCAGGAGAGCACCGAGATCAGTCTGCACGTGGGTCAGGTTGTGGAAGTCATTGAGAAAAATGAATCTGGTAAGAGATTTTTAAGCATAAAGGTGTGCATTTCCAGAGGGAATGCATATAAAATATTTTATACCAATAAATGTGGCCAAGTCAAGTTCTGCCAGGGAGCTGAAAACCAGTTTTTAATAATTTGTTATCATCATCATCTGTTGGACTCTTCTCATTAAGGGTGGTGGTTTGTGAGCTCAGAAGATGCTCAGGGTTGGGTCCCTGCCACCTGCCTGGAGGCGCAGGATGACCCCGATGACTTCACACTTCCTGGAGAAGAAGGTACATAGAACTGCTTTAAATTCTAGTGCTGATGTGCAGGTTTATTACACTGCAAGTTACATTTGACTTACTAAAATAAGGCAAGTATTACTTTAAGTAGTCCAAACAGTAACCAGTTGATTTTTAATGTACAGATTTAAAAGTGTGAATAAAAAGAGGGGGGCATCTCTAGAAGCACACCAATAAAAAGTGCTCATACTTTCGTTACAAGAAGAAGAAAAAAAACAGCTTGAAGGTTACATACCATTTGTAATGCTCACTTCCTATTCTGCCCCACTTACTGTGCTGGGATGTCAGTACCTCGAAGGTTCTGGTCACTGCCGAGGCACGTGGGTCGTCGCAGAACATTAGGGGATCTATTCAGCACAGGCTTTGGGCAAGGTGGAGCGCACGCCTTTCTTTTCCCCACTATCCTGAGTGTGTATCTCTGTGTTTATGCATACACAATGTTTGGTCGTGTATGCATGCTTGTGCTGTGCATGAGTGACCCAAGCATGAGAAATAAAGTCTGTGCATGCTACGTTTATCGTGCTTTTATGGAAATATAAAGTCTATAGATGAAATGTAAACAAGAATTTATTGTTTATTCTATTTTCTGATGAAAGTTTTTAATGTGTAAAAATGTAAGAGTAGAAATAATGCATAGTCTCTGAATTTGTAACAACCTTGTCTTATTGTAGTTGGTATTTGTCAGAAATCTGTTTGTGTTGTACATTTTTTCTTTCCATTCTGCAAAAACTGCTCACGCCTTGCCTTTGTTAAAGTATGCTTAGAAGAACCAATCCACATCTGTCATCCACAATAATGAGTCGTATAAAAAGGCTGAAGATAGACCATTTGTTTGGCCCTCTCATCATAAGATTGTTAATATTTTGGGGACATCAAATTCTCATGGCAGAAGCACTTCCTTCCACCATCCTTGATTTATTTGAAATGTTAAGATGACTGGTTCCTTTTCAATTTTTCATAATCTTCATACAGTACTTTGCTTTGCCCCCCAGCTTTAACCCCATCTACGAGCATTTAATCACGTTGTGACTGTTAACACTGTCCACAAGAAATCCACATTGTCTTCTTGTTCCTATTCTAGAAGAGAAGTATTCTGTGATTTACCCTTACTCGGCCAGGGATCAGGATGAAATCGATCTGGAGAAGGGCATGATTGTTGAGGTTATTCAGAAGAACTTAGAGGGCTGGTGGAAGATCAGGTAATTCAAATCAGTGACACTTGTTCTTAATCTGTTTTGTTGTGTACAATCATAAAAACTGGCTTTTTTATCATCTCTTAACCCTCCCACTGTCTTTATTGGTGACCCCGCAAGGAAAGTTGACCATTGAGCAAGATTAATGGTTTATCCCTTGAGGTCCACGTGGCAGGGGTGAGGTGGTGCTCACTCCTCACCCCCACCACAGGGATTCAAGAGATAAACCATCAACCCTGTTCAATGGTCAACCCTGTTCAAAGGTCAACTTTCCTCATGGGGTAACACCCATTAAGACAGTGGGAGGGTTAATACATTCCAGTTCCATCTTTTATATAGGCTAGCACTTTAGCCTAAAACACAATGTTACAACTTGTCATCATGCCTAAAATATATTAAACTGAATCAATTTAAAATATCCATCATAGTAAATCTACGTAAAATCAGAACAGACAATATACAAAGGCAACTACTATATTTAGACCAAAATGAGATTAAAATCAAAATCTCCATCCATCCATTTTCATCCGCTTATCCGAAGTCGGGTCGCGGGGGCAGTAGCCTAAGTCGAGAGGCCCAGACTTCCCTCTCCCCAGCCACTTGGGCCAGTTCTTCAGGGGGCATCCCAAGGCATTCCCTGGCCAGGCGAGAGACATAGTCCCTCCATTGTGTCCTGGGTCTCCCTTTAGGCCTCCTCCCGGTTGGATGTGCCCAGAAAACCTCACCAGGGAGGCATCCAGGAGGCATCCTGACCAGATGCCCGAGCCATCTCAACTGGCTCCTCTCGATGTGGAGGAGCCGCGAATCTACTCCAAGCCTCTCCTGGATGACTGAGCTTCTCACCCCATCTCTAAGGGAGAGCCCAGCCACTATGCCGAGAAAACTCATTTCGGCCGCTTGTATCCGTTGTCTGGTTCTTTCGGTCACTACCCAAAGCTCATGACCATAGGTGAGGGTAGGAACGTCGATCGACCGGTAAATCGAGAGCTTCGCCTTCTGACTCAGCTCTCTCTTCACCACGACTATATTTAGACCAAAATTAGATTAAAATCAAAATCTCATGTTATGAAAACTGAAAGCATTCACAAAACTTGGCGTGGTAGCTAATTCCATAGTTGTTGGATGGCACCTGCAAAAGTTCAATCTGCGATTTTTGTTTTCTACTGTTCCTTGGCATTCTCATGAACAATAGAGGTCAAGAAGGCCGATGAAAATAAATGATCTCAAGAGAGAAAAGGAGAGACGAGGCCTTTAAGATCTTTAAAAACAACTATGAGAACTTTAAAACATTTTTTTAAATGTGTGTGCGTTGTGACTAGGGATGTGCATTGGAGAAATGTTGGCGATACGATACATATCACGACACAGGGGAGACGATTAGCAATGTTTTTTAGAAATAATTTATTGTAGGAATATTCAATAAACAGTCCAGACTGATACTTAACATGTTTAACCTGAGGTATCTGAACCATAACAGAGGGAATTACTTTTCAATGGTGGAAACTAAACCCATTGCACACTGCTGCAACTAGCGGTCAGTGTTTGAATTGCACCAAAAGAAAAGAAAATACACAAATGTTTGCGTATAAATTATTTCAAAAATTAGATACACGGCTTTTGAAAATCGATATATCGATATTTTTGTACATCCCTAGTTGAGTGTGTACAACTAACTATTAGTTTCAACATTTAAACCAAAAGAGACTAAGAATGTGATTCCACAATCGGTACCTCAGGGTTATTTTACCAGAACTTCCCGGCATCCACGTGTGTCCACTACACCGGGCCGGCCAGACAAGCCATTTTCAGAAACCATCGGAATACCTGATCAGGGGTAGGTACTCTGAAAGGCTCAGAAAAGTTGCTGTGCAGAACTTTTGGTTAACTTACACCGACTTGTAACTCAGTAGGGAATCACATCAGCAGATGTCGTCCAAACCAACTGGCATTAGTAAAATTAGAAGAGATGCTTGTAAAGCAGAACAGAAGCCCAAACAAGTTTTATTGTGCTGCTTCTCTGCACCATGTTCAGCACCTTGGGCCCCCTTGATTGGGGGTGGGAAGGGGCTTTATAAATAAAATGAACTTGAGAAATAAACACCATTCGCACTGCTTTAAAATTGCTGTTATTAAATTCCCAACACCAAAACAGTGGAAATCCCCCCACAATGACATAATTCACAGGGCTTTTATGTCTCACAGAACGCCGTAAAAACGGCACCAAGTCTGATCATTAAACACCACATTTTACATCACACTGTAGCTCTCCTCGTCCTCCAAATGGATTTTGTGTCAACAAAATAAAACATTTATTGTCACTGTGGATACTTTTTGACCCTGATCAATGACATCACTCACTGCCAAAGCATTACCGATATGCTGATGTCTGTTCAATGTCCTGAAAGGTTTGACTTTGAATGGAGACACAATAGCTGAGAGAACTGGGCCATCGTAACTACTGCTTAGTGCCCCATCCCAGAAACAATAGAAATATGCCTATAGTGATAACATTGTTGATTATTGTCCGAAACAGGTGGGGTAAAAAATAAAAAAAACAATAGCCATTTTTGGTCATATATTTTAGTTATTTTCTTTGTCTAGGTACCAGGGCCGTGAGGGCTGGGCCCCTGCCTCCTACCTGAAGAAAGCCGATATTCAAAGCCAGAGGCAGTCAGCGGGTGCTGCTGCCCATGCCAGTACAAATGATCTGGAAGCTTTCTCCAAACAGAACCAACAAAACAACGCAGCGAGGGAGAACCGAGATAACAACCAGAAAGACAATAGACTCTCCTTTTTCTCTGATAACAAAAGTAGGACGTAAATTTAATAAATGATGCAGTTTTTATATTGTATAGGATATGAAATAAAAACTCTAATTATTGGACCAACCGACTTGTTTTCTCTAGAAGTGGGATTAAGACACCGGCCACCCCCTCGTCGAGACCTTACCATTGTAAGATGAAGCACCGTTATATTGGTCTTGTTATAGAATTTTTATAAAATTTCTAAAGAGTCTTGATTTAAGTCAACCTAATATTTGTTTTCCCACGTCCCACAGCCACGTGGTACAAACTTACCCAAGCCACCCGTTCCTCCCCAGGTTGAGGAAGAATATTACACCATAGCAGACTTTCAGACTACTATCCCTGATGGTATTAGCTTCCAAGCTGGTGTCAAGGTTGAAGTAAGTCTGACATAAAACTCTTAAAATATGAAGTATAAAGTATGAAACAATTCAAGACAATTCAATCATTTTGAAAAGCAACCGATTTTCTTTTTTCCCTTCATTCAAGGTAATTGAGAAGAATGCAAGTGGTTGGTGGTATATCCAGATAGATGACACTGAGGGCTGGGCACCAGCTACCTTTGTTGACAAGTACAAGAAGACCAGTAATGCCTTGCGACCTAATTTTCTGGCCCCACTGCCCAATGAGATGGAGAAGCTGAGGCAGGAGGATGGTGGTTCTTCAAATGTTTTAGGCAAAGATGACACATGGTCCAAGCCTTTGCCAGATGAGCCCACTACAGGCTCTGAGTCATGTGCTCGCCCTAAGCTGAGGGACTGGAAGTCCAATCCCAGCAAGGGGACCTCAGCCTTCTCTGGACCATTGCCACCAGCCCCAGCAGCCCCTCCAGCTGAGGAGAAACCAGCTCTGCCCCCGCGAAGAGAGTCCATTAACAAGAGCTTTGAATTGGAGGTGGCAGAGAAGGCCAAGTCTGATCATTCCAAGCCTTTGCCTCCAAAACCCCCAGCACCAGGGGTCATTATGCCTCATGTGGCACCCAAGATGCCCCCCTTCAAACCAGAAAAACCAACAGAGGTCAAGAAAGATGATAAGAACAAAGCTCTTTATCTCCGTAATGAAATGGGTCTTGAATGTGGTCACAAGGTGTCTGCCAAAGAGGTGAAAAAGTTTAATCTAAAACCTGTACCCAAACAGCCACCAAAGCCTAAGCCAGAGATTCAAGAAGAGAAACCAGAGGCTGCTGGTCCTGCGTCGTTCATAAAGGCCAAGCCAGTGATCAGACCTAAACCTGCCCCAGCTGCCAAGCCAGAAGGACAAGCAGATGACAGCAAATTGGACATTACCAACCTAAGAAGCAAGTTGAGACCATCAAAACCGGCAGATCTGGGTTCTGCATCAGCTGAGGTGAACCATCAGAATGATACCTCAGCAACAGGAAATGGTTTCCACCCAAGTTCACCCCCTAGCTCCCCATCAGTCCACATCCCATCTGTCAATAATGGCAAATGCTCTGAGCCAAAACTTCCCACAAAACACACCAACGGTCTCAGTCAGGAGAGATCATCACCCCCTGCAAAACCAGCAGTGCCCCCCCATAAAGAACTTCCTCAAAGACCTCCTACCATGGCTCCAAGAAGACCTCCTCCTCCAAAGAAAACAGATCCATCAAGCCCGACTGAACCAAAATCTCCCCCTACTCTCAAAGAGCCCCAGGAGGTCCCCAGGCCTGGACCACCACAACTCAGCAGACCTCCTCCCCCTAAACCCAAAGGGTTTGTTCATCCTCCTGTAAGCAAAGAGAATAACGAGCCCAGGGTGAATAAAGTCCCAATCCCTCCCAAACCTCAGCTGAAGAGTGAGAAACCCGGACCGCCCAAAGACAAGCTCCCTCCTTTACTCAAGGATTCGAGTAAAGATGAGCTTTATCTAGCTGTGGCGGACTTCGAAGGGGATGAGCAGACATCGAGCTTCAAGGTGGGGACAGTGTTTGAGGTTCTTGAGAAAAATAGCAATGGATGGTGGTTTTGTAAAAACGTAGGCGAAGAAGTCGAGGGCTGGATCCCTTCGAACTACCTGAGCAAGAAGCCCTAGATTCTCTAAAGCAAAATATGGGGAGCTTGAAACAGAACAAGTCAAGGTTCTAGTTTATTTATAGGTACCTTTAATTCACTTCCTTCAAAGAATATCCAACTGAACCAGCAATAACTTGACCTTTATTTAGTTTTGTGTGATGATTTACCTTTCTAACCTAGTAATTGTAAGAACTGCTTATTGTGGCTATATGTCAGTCAAAGCCAATGTCCATTTTGCTTTTACTCAGGCTAGAACTTAGAACAAATGTCTCTACACCTATGCCTTTTATAATAGTGCCTCAAATGTATGCAAAGTGCATATCAATCTGTATGCAGCTGTCTTAGTGACTTAGTCAATGCAATAATCTTCAGAACAAGAATTAACAGAGTGGAACAGGAACAAATCAAAATTTATAGACTTCACCTGGGCTTTAAAGTACCGTTAGATTCCGCGTCAAATTTGCCGGTATGTATGCTAAGTATAAGTGCAGTTTGCTTTCTAGAGATTGCTGTTTTTCGTAGTTGTAATTCTTGTACACCAGATGTGCACTTTCCGTAAGTTCAGGTGAGGTAAATATTTGCACACCCAACATAAGAGGAAGAATGCAGTAGTGCATTTTAATCTCCTGCCATTCATTTTTATTTGTCCAGCTTGTAATCTCATTTCAACAAAATGGTCAAATCCTCAGTTTGGGTGAGGCAGAATAGTCCAAACTTAGAGGTTGAGGGTGTTCTCTGTTAAAGTATTTCTACACAATAATGTCATCTCACACTCAGAAATGTGAATTGAAGGTTTGCATTGGTTTGTGCAATGTTTTACATTGTTGTAAACGCACAGGCTCATCCTAAAGGAAGTCTGCCGCTCAAGTGACAACGTGATGACCATCGTATATAAATGTTTTACATTAATGCTTGACTGGTCTCAAGCATGGTCAGTATTGCAGATTATTTTATCTTTCATTTTGGTTTACAATCTAGATTGGAATCAAACACATTCAGTAGGAAAACTAAGTTGCTTAATACTCATGTTGAGCAACCAATGCTACTTTTTCATCAAATGGCTTAATTGTTTAAAATGGGAAAAATGAATGCATAGACAAGGCTAAAAGCTGTAACACGGATTCTGTTCTGCTTCTAGTTGCTTTAGTGTTTCGTCATTTTCAAATGACAGTATACCAGAAAAGAGGAACCAAATATGCATAGAAAGTTCTTTTCAAGTTTATGCCTTGTGGCCCAAAAAAAACCCAACATATGGGCAGATGGTGCTGTCATTTCTGGTTTCTTTTTTTCCCCAATGTACTTTGCATTAGCCTACATTGAGTCTGTTTTTGCTTTTAAGTAAATAAAATTTTCAAGTTTTCCATTTAAGGTGGCATGTTATTTCAGACTACGATTTGCTGTTTGTTTCTATGACAGATTTCCTTTTTTCTTTCCCAAGAATTAGAGATGTCCAATATTATCAGCCGATTTTGAAATGTAATATCAGAAATGCTCTGTATCGAGCTTTACTGACAACCTTTGCATACCATGAACATATCATGCATCAAATTCTTTAGTCATCTTCTCCCTTACATCTATGGGGTGCCATTTGTAAAGTCAGAGTCATAATTCACCAGCAGTATTTTTGGTTTATTTAAGAGAAAAAAAATAGTTCATTTTTCAAAGTCATCTTTTCACCGTGCCAATCATACATTTATTAATGTCAAATATCCAAACTAAATATTAAGTTTGCAATGTAAATATTTAATTTGGAGTTAAATTTTATTTTACAAACTAAACATTTAGGCCAAACCTCAATAATTAGCTTGTAATATAAATATTTAATTTACTAACTAAATATTGAATTTGGAGCTAAATAATTAGTTTACAAACTAACAAAGTCATAAAATCATAATGATTTCTCAACAGAATTAGATTAACATCAGAAAAAATAATTTCATTAACATTTTTAGCTCCAAAATTAATATTTAGATCACAGCTAAAAACAATTTTGGGACTAAACTTAAATATTGAGTTTTCTCAAAAATAAATATTTAACTGGGATCTAAATATTTATAAATGTGTGAATAACATGGTGAAAATGTGACTGAAAAATTAACCCCTATTTATTTTTCTTATGATTGGCTAAACCCATTAAGATGAGATTTCTGAGCATGTTAGGATTTATTCTATCCCAGTTTTGCAGAAATGTAAAAAATGGCCCAAATGTCGTAACAAAAGTGGGAACTTATCACCATCACAATCCAATCATTAGAAAATCTGCATTTATTGAGTAACTTACATCAGTGATTCCTTCTGGTACAAATGTATTCATTCATACTCACACCCCATCCACATAAATTCTATTATGTAAACTGAGGCACAGAAGAAGCCATTAGACATGCCTGGAAAAAAGTGACTAAACTGTACCTTATTTGATGTAAATCAGCTTTTTAAAGACAAAAAAAAATTCTCATTTAAAAAAAGAAGTGTAAAAGATTAAACATCTGGAAGCTCGTTACAGCTGACTTACCCTTAAAAATAATATCAATTAAAACAAACTGTTAATCATTAATCTACTTTGTGTTTATCTAATAATGTTTGACTTCAAAGGTTGCTAAATTGTGTTTTGTTCAACACTTAATATATTTCTTCAGTGCAATGCAAAAAAAAAAAAAAATTAAATCAAACCTCCACAAGTTATGCAGAGATATATTGCACATGGGTTCGCAGGCAGTTCATTTACTGCACAACAATTATACATGTAATTGATAGAAATCACCCATACAACATAAACAGTCAACATTTAGCAACATTTAGCTTTGTCCTTGTCAGTTCTCATCCAGTGTAACTGAATATACAGTAAAAATAATTAGACTTCCCTTGTTTGATTAAAAAAGAAAGAAAACTTTAGATTTAGCTTCATTCCCCATAAAAAATAAAACAAAGCCAATCCTTCATTGTATGGGTGTTACAAACAGAAATTAAAAAGAAAAAAAAATCCAGTTCAACTTACAGTGTTACTCTGAATAATATATATTTCTAACCAGAAAAAATAAATAAACTTGCGCAGCAATGAAACATGCATACGGCTTTATAGAAAACAAGTCAAACCAAGCAGAGAGAACCAGGAGAGTCAATAAATCTTATCCGGAGTAAACAAAGTGCTTTGTCACTGGCTCACCAACCAGTACTTGTTGCATTCCTTTGTGTCATACTAAATTTTCCTGGCTGGCAAAAAAAGTATGTTTTTTCCTAAAATATCCACACTAAAACAGCTAATTTGGCGTCTTCTGTTTATCCCCAAAACTTTTTGCATCATTCAGATGTTATCTTTTGATGGAGGGTCGTACAAGAAGCAGATTTAGGCATAAAAATATGATATTAAAGCTAAATACATCAGAAAATGTTACCTATTTTAAAGAAAAACTATTCAAAGGGTTAAAACAAAAGTTAAAACATAATACTCACTAAAATAATATATAAATCCAACAAAGAATAGATGATCTGTCATGACTGAGGAAATGAAAACTGAGGCAGCAGGCATCTGGAAGATCTATGTGTTTTGTAGGCAGTAGATATTTACACATCACAGCATTTTTTGTTTATATAGTGGAAGAGTCTAAGTAAGGCACAAACTTGGAGAGTTTTTGAGGAGAGCTGGGATTTAGACAGACGGAGCTCTCGCTCATCATGAAAAACGCCTCTTGGTCTCGTTTCTTTGCATTTAGCTCTTCTTCAATGGCCTAAAGGGGGTAAAGACCAAAATATTAAATATGATTATATATACACACATATACATGCATGCATGTATATGCATTATGATTATATAATACACATACATACATACATGCATACAAGCATGCATGCATATACATTGATTATATACACATTTACACATACATACATGCATACATACATAAAAAAGCAAAGAGTGAATGACAGTTATACAATTTATATCTGTATAAGGTCTGTGTGAATGTACGTCAGGACTTATGCATGTTGAATGTGGTGCAGGAAAAACATTGTTTATTGCTGCCATCTTAAAGAGCAAGTCACCCCCAAATAAACTTTTTTTACTGATGAACTAAATAAACGAGTGTCTAACCGTGCTGCAGACACGTGTCATCAAAAATTTGGCACTTCAGTGCATCTTAGTTAAAATTTAAATATTCTGCCTAAAACTGGCAGTGTTGTGCCGTTGTCAGGTAAAAACTCTGCACTGTATTTTAATTTAAATCTGCCACCGCTATTGGCTAAGAGGTATGCTATGATATAAACTGGTACATTATGATGTCACAATGCTGTCGTGAGCCTGTGTGTGTGTGTGTGTGTGTTTGTTAGCAGCTCCACCCTCTCGGTCTGCCAGGCAACAGCATTTGTTGCATTTTTCAAACATGAAGTGGGAGTGGAGTTAGACTCTGGTAGGGGTTGACTTGCTCTTTAAAACAACACCAGTTTTCAAAATTTCCTAATTTCACAAGAACACTTATGTAGTAAAGTTGATTTCATACAATGCAATATTATATGGCAAGCATAAAGAGCAGCAGCAAACAGTAGCGCCTGTGTAACTGTGACAAGGTAAACAGAAATATAATAAGATTTCTGCAGAAAAAAAAATTGTTCTGCCATGTGGTGGAGTTGCTAATGCTAATGGTTAGCCTTCCTCGTTGTGCGCCAAGATGGATGAGTCCATGAACATTAATTTACAGCGTGACATAGATCTTACTGGATTTTCTAATCCAACAGTTCCCCCAGGAAATAGGGGTAGCAGTAAAAGACTGTTTTATCAGTGAACTTGGTCTTTAAAACATAAATTAGAAGTTGTGTCAGAGCATCAATGGTGACCAAATGAGATTTGTCAAGTTTAAACGTTGACACTCACCTTCTTTCTGAGCCTCAGATGCTCCCTCCAGTCCTTCATCTGCTGATTGTGTTTCTCATCCAGCTGCTTGAGCCTCTGAGTCTCATTCTCAACCAACATGTGGCACTTTTCATTCTGAAGGACAAAAAAAAAAAACCTTGTAAGACAAAGATCTAATTTAAACATGCCAAACAGAAGACTGTAGCTCACCTGCAGCTGCTGCAGCTCCCTGATGTTGTTCTCACACTGACCAACCATCTCTCTCATCTGGTTCTCATGCTTCTGCTGCTGATATTGCCTCTCTGCCTTCTGCCGCTTCTCCTCTTGCAGAGAAAACTGAAGGGAAGCAAATGAAATGTTACTAAAACAAAACAAGCTATATCTTAATTAAGGAGTACGGAACAAAAAGCGGTGCAGGCCAACCTCTTTGATCCTCTTTCTGTCCTCCGATGAGCTGCCTGATGAATTGATGCGGAGGCTCTGCTTGAACATGGCCATCCGAGTCTTTGCCTCACGGCGCTGAATCCTGGGTAGTCGGCCCTTCTCCTGCTGCTGCCGACCTTTCAGAATCTCAATCATTCGCTGATTGTAGCGCTGCATCTGTTCTGTCTCCTGCAAAAGGCGCAGAGACCAGACAGAAAACAAGACCAATGGGAATCAGCTGCTGTCAGGTCTAGAGGTCAACCAATGCTGCTTTTTTCTATTGTTGACGTCAGGGTAAAATAAATTCTGCACCAGCACCAGGCTGCCTGGTGATGTGCCTGACTTTATTGGGCTCGACACACGGGAGGCGACAAATGACCGCGATCAGCGAAATTTGTCGCTGTCGCTTTTATTACCTGACACACGGGAGGCGATCCGCGGCCGCAGCCAGCGGCAAAACCGTCTCCGCGTTCTGTTCCATGGCGAAATCGAAACTTCTGTTGTTTTGTTTGGCTGTGTCAGGTTGGAGGGAATTAAGGTTATTTAAGCGGTTCAGAGTTAATAAAGTGGTAGATATGATGTTTCACAAGTTGCTGCTAGAGTTATGTGAAATCTTACTTCTGATTTTACTATATAAACATAATAATAATCAACTTCTCCTTCATGTTTGCGTGGAGATGTACAGAGCATTATGTCCGCTCATTGGTCAGTGAATGAAACCTCCGTTGATTGGTCCTCGTTCGAGCGACAGCAATGAAAAGTTGAAAATGTTTCAACTTTCTGGGATCGCGTCACTGGGTCGCCTGTGCATGACACGTGCACGAGCGCAAAATTTCACACACATGTTTTTCGCATTTCGCTTGGTAGGAAGGAGACCCACGATTATCGCTTTGTCGCGCATGTCTCATTGAAAATGAATGGAGGAGAGGTGATGTCGCCTCCTGTGTGTCGAGCCCATAAATCGGCTTAACTAAGGAGGTATGTTAGCCGATGCAGATATATTAAAAAATGTCAAATATGGGCCCGACACATCAGCCGACCGATATATCGGCCAACCCCTAGTCAGGACTTTTGAAGGATTTTGCTCGCGACCATTCACGATAGACAGATCACATGCTGACATGATGGAGAACCTCAGTTCACTAGTTTACCTTCTCATGTTTCTTCAGAAGTAGATGTCTCTGCAGGAAGTACTGGTCTTTCAGCTGCTGCTTCATTAACTGGTGTTTCTCGTTAAGGTGGTTCTCCTCCATTTCCCATATCGCAGCCTCACGATCTATCCGGTTATTCAACAACATTATGGAAATCCCATCCACATGCAACATCCAGCAAGTCAGGTGATCATAACGACAAGAAGTTGCAACTTCCTGATACCGTACCTCTGATAAATTCCTGCTTCTTGTTGAGGCATTCTCGCTCCTGCTCCGCAATCTCCCTCTTGTTGTTAATGATCATCTTCTTCAGAGTTGTGTCTAGATCGTTCTTCTGACTCGCCAAGAAATTCTCCTCCTGAAAGAAAGCAACAAAGATGAGAATGGTGTGGAGACAATAAAGATAATAAAATAAAAGGAGAAACGCTTGCACTTTAATAAGCATCGATCGGTCCACAAACCTGCTTTGCCTTGTCTTCGGCGTAAAAAGACAATCTCTGTTTCAAAGTTTCTTTTCGTTGACTTTTAGCAACTTTTTCCACAGAATTTTTTACCTAAATACAGAAAAGATTATTTCAGTAACAGCTCTAAAGTGGTTTTGCTTTTACACTATAGAAGTCAGATTTACCTCCTTTTTCTTCAATTTCAGCTGGTCTAGGAACTTGTGGTAGTCCCTCTCCTGCTCTGCTTTGATGCGCTTGGTCTCATCCCTTAGTTTGACATTGTGATCGGCCTCAATTTTCTCTATTTTTTGCTTCTGTTGCTTCTCCATATTCTCCAACTCTGTGTCATAATGCTTCTTCTTAGCCTGAGATGCGCCAAAAGGAGGAAAAACATCAATTTACATGCTCCAGTTTTTCATGGAGGTAAAGAATACTCTGTGGTGTCATTTGAGCTTAATAAAGGGCAAAATCACATTTGTTTCCTGGTCAAAGCGTTTCTGCATTTGCTCGGTTTGCGATTCCAGCTTGGCGGTCAGACCAGCCTGAGCACGTTGTTCTTCCTTCTGCAGCAGTCGCAGCTCACGCAGCTCCTGCCGTCTGAACACGCCAGAGAAAGAAACACTGGTTTTACCTTCTTTACATATGGTTATTAACGTCTTAAATAGGCAGGCTCTTTATGATCTGTGTCTCTTATAGGTCACACCGATGCATCTAAGTGCAAAAAGAAATTAAAGGAACATTTTTTTATTCACAACATACTAAATATACACACAGATCACACTTTGAGAAATTTTGTTTTGCTGCAGTTATGCATTTTCACCACTAGATGGCAGGAAAGTTTATATATTCAGGACTCCTTTAACAAAGCAAAAGGGCCCAAACTGGTAAGATATCAGAAAACGTATCCATCCACTAATTTATTTTTCTGAACAATGCAAATCTGAGGGGTTTGGAGCAATAAGGATTGTTTGATACGTTTCCACACACCTCAGGAATCTCATCTCCTCATCTTTTTTCTCGTCATCCCGGATGATCTTGGAGGTGGTAACGCTCACTTCCACGCCGTCAACGACAAACTTCCTCGTTCGCTTTAGAGTCCTACTGGAAAAGGGCTGACAGAAAGATAGGAAGAATCAAAGGCATGCATTTGCTCGATTTTTGCACATTCCAATTTTAACAGTTGTTTATAAACCAGATAAATCCAGATTTTATTTTACTTTCCTTTAAAAAATTAAAAAATCTGGAGTGTACATAACCTGCAATGTAATTGACTGCAAAATTTTAGCAGCTGTGTTTGTAGCAGCCCACTACAAAACCTATCTGTTAGCATGAGGTGTACACGATGCAAACTCTCCAGCTTTTTCAGTAACCAATTTAAATTTAATAAAGCCTTTTGCAAAAAGAAAAAAGGAATTGCATGGAATTTATCTTTGCATTTATAAATGTTTTTATTAAAACCGATTAAAGCTATAAATACAGGTCAGACCGAGTTCATTTCACATTCTTTATAATTTCCCTGTAGACTCCTCTAATAGAATATCTTAACTTATTTTTGAGTTTATTCCAATTTTAGCATTTAAGCTTGTAGAAAGACCAAGCTAGCTGTGGGTGCATGTGTGCTGGAGGCAACTATTTCCTGTAAATCAGGTTTGTTCCCAGAAAACAAGATGCTTGTGAGTGTACGTCAACACAGGAAGTAATTAAAACAAGCAAGATGTCATCCACTGCATGACTGTTTTTTTTTTGTATTTTTTTTGTAAGTAAATGAGAAGTTTTGATTTTCTGGGACGTTAGATCAAAGCTAAACACGCTTTTAAAAAGTTACAAAACAAAATGACAGCATCACTCTTATGATGTCACCTTAAATAGGTAATAAAAAGGTCAAAGTGTCACAGTGTGGCCCCGCCTCATGACCAAATGGAAAATGTTGTCAAAGCAATCTAGCCATGTGTTTTTATGTTGCCATGCGTCACGTCACATTTAATCAGCCTTGTCAGATAATGTTTACCGAAGAGATCCAATGAGATTTACTTCACAAAAACCAGCTAGCTCCAAATCTGAGTGCCTGACTTTCACGTGATAATAAAAGAATAATTAACATTTGGGTCATGTTTTGTCTTCAGTAATTCACTTTTTTTTCCTATTGGTTTTTTTTTTGGACCTTCAAAGGAATTTTTAGGTGTATTTCTTCAGGATTTTTAAATGAACATTTAAAGATTTGGGGCTTTGCGTCGTCTTTATTTGCTAAACTCCTGTTATTTTAGGTCAACACATAACAGAAAATGTGGCAAAAGAACCAATTATGAATTGAATAGGTTGCAAGAATATAATATTTATGTTTAGCAATTTAGTAATATTTATGTTAAATCTTTTTCTAGAAAACCTGGAGGAAAATTAACTAAAACCTCGTTCAGAAACTGGTTCTTTAGGAGCAACATATTAAAGCTTTAAGACAATTTTTTTTAAATATTTTTTTGCCACTTTGACATCAAAGCAAAGTGACATTCTTCTACATGGTGGCGCAGTGGTTAGCACTGTTGCCTCGCAGCATGAAGGTTGCAGGTTCGAAACTCGGCTGCGGCCTTTCTGCGTGGAGTTGCGTGTTCTCCCCATGCATGCGTGGGTTTCCTCCGGGTACTCCGGTTTCCCCCACAGATCACAACGTGCCCTATAGGTTATAAATTGTAAGTCGCTTTGGATAAAAGCATCTGCTAAATGAATAAACATAAACATAAACATGAGCCACTACTGTTCAATTAACAGCTGAGCCACAGTACACCGAGAGACTTGTAACTAATGGCAGCTACCAAATGGGGCTTTTGAATCTTTCTCCACTGAATACATGTCCTCCACTTCAGAAGACAGATTTTCATTTAAAACAAAATAGACACTTTCTCTATATGTCATGAAATTCCTACTGACGTCATCCTCAAACGATCCATTGGTCTCTCTGCTGTTTTGTTTGAGATTGTTTGTGACTTTGTTGGCATTCTATAACTTTTATATTAGGCTGGCAAGCCAGCCATATATGTAAATATAATGTATGGTCACAACTAGGGATGTAAGAAAATATCAATATAGCAACATATTGTGATTTTTTCTGCAATATATAGATATTCAAAAGCTGCGTTGAATTTTCTGAAGAATTTACATGCAAACGTGTATTTTCTTTTCTTTTGGTGCAATTCAAACGCTGACCACCAGCTGGCAGCAGTGTGCAATGGGTTTTGATTCTGCCATTGAAATGTAAATCCCTCAGTTATGGTTCAGATACCTCATGTTAAACATGTTATGTATCAATTTGGACTGTTTATTGAATTTTCCATCAATAAATTCAGTCTAAAAAAATCGCTAATATCGTCTGACTGAATGTATTGCGATATATCGTGATACAATGTATCGTCTACCCTGTATCTTGATACGTATCGCGTCACCAAAAATATCATCAATAAACATTCCGAGTTACAACCCATAGACAGAACTCAATCATGGGGCGAAACTGTCTCTGCACGCTAACGGTCAGAGCTAGGACCAATCAGAGCAACGAACAACATGAGAAATGCATTCTAAGGCAAGCAATCAATAGGGAAGTCTTCCATACCCCATCAAAGTAAAAGCAAATACATATGTTTTTTCTAGACAAAAAGGACTAAAGTACCTGTATCTGTTCATTTCTCAAAGAAAAGCCCAAGTCTAAATTTTTCTAAGTTCATGCCAAAGCCATTTCAAATGAGTGCCATTCCTGAGCAGACGCCAGGGGCGGCGTTAGGCCCGGCTACTTGGGCTGAAGCCCCGGATCTTTCCGGATAAGCCCCGGATCTAAATCGCGGAAGTAACATGCAGTACCAAAGTCCAACAGAGAGGGAGCAGCTGGCAGTAGTTTGTATACAGCCTGCCTTAGCCTCCACCACTGAAGAAGAAGCCCTTCAGCAGCCGGCTTCTTCTACACTCTGTCTGAAACGCATGAGTGAAGATGGACATAAGGACGTTTTTTTAGACCAAAAGTACAACGACAGAACCCCAGCTTTGATGAGACTGGTGTTGACTCAGGTTTGTGAGTCTTATTTGAAAATATTTGTTGTGCTGCTGGTTTGCCTAAAGTTAGCTTATCAGGTAAAGTTTTTGGAGAAAGAAAGGGAATATTTACTATCATCTCACACTGAACACTAACAGGAACAATACTCTGCCCTGAATATGCTTAATACTGTATGTAGCTTCAGATTAATAATTATGTGGTACAAGATATATATATATATATATATATATATATATATATATGATGTTGACTAGTGCGTGTCGCGTGTGTGCGCGTGCGTGTGTGTGTGTGTTAAGCCCCGGATCTTCTTCAGTCCTAAATCCGCCCCTGGCAGACGCCATCTTTGCACGCCGAACTAACGTAGATCGCTGTGATGAACTAAACAGAAAACAGTTTGGGCCAATAGTAGACCTGCTGAAGTTACAATAGAGCATGACTAGACCGACCTGCAGAGCTATCTTTTACTAAAGCGACAGCTGGTCTAGATTTCTGGGCTACTTCTCTATAGATGCACACAAGGATTCCCTATAATTATACTCACACTGAAGCTTTAAAAGAAAAAAATACACATAATATAAACACATTCATTAAACCAATGGCAGTTGTGCCGATTCAACTGAGCAATGTGCTACAAATGGACACCGTCTGTAGGATTCGCCTCCAGAAGCTACCAAGTGACAATGAGCTGCACACAAACTACCATTCACAACACTGAATGAGGGAGTGTGCCCCCACAAAGGGCACCATTGGCCCCAGTGAATGGAACATGTTACATATTTGGCTTCTCTAACCTCCATTCCTCATTAGGACCGTCAGAGAAGAATTGTTTAGCTGAAATAAATTCACCGCTGTGATTTGGATCCCCTTAGTCAGACTATAAATTAGACCGCACATTGGATCGCCTTCTGTGTTCTCCCGAAGTGTAATGTGTGGTGTAAAAGTTCGTGGGAGCAACAGGCGACCCTCTGTGTCAGACGGTTAACACCCACACCCCAAAACACAACACAAGGCTGCCTCAGCTTCTTAAAGGGAGCAGAGAATGTTTTCCAAGGAGGAGTTTTCCTACAAACACACAGAGACTGGGGCTTTAACACTCCAGAATGGTCAATTTCACCATGGACATGATTTTTTTTTTTTTTTTTTTTTTGCTTTAGTTTGTTTTCTGTAACAGAAAAACTTGATTTTCTTCTTGAATTTCGAATTGCACATTCCCTATATTTACACTTCCATACATCAGATTTCGCTCCATGACTCACCCTGGCAGATATGTTAATGTTCTCTTTGTTGATTGCTGTGAGCTCCGACGCCAGGCTGGCTGCATCTTTACTGCCCCCGTTCATAAACGGGGAGACGGCCTCAGAGTTTCCGCTCTTCGATGATTGATCCACTGAAGCCTTGCTTATGCTGTCATTTGGTCCAAGATGGGCTGCAGGTACTGGTGTATTAATGAAGGAAGGTGTGGGTGTGTGTGCAGGAGTGACAGATCGGCTCGAGCTTGGAGACGGTGTCTCCCTCCCACCCACACTGACACTCTCATAGTCAGCCAAACGGATCCTTGACATGTCCCGCTCTGTGGCACGTTTTGAGTACTCCTCCATCTGGGGGGGAATAAATGGCAACCATTGAGTCTCTCATAGGAAAATGATCAATAATAATGTTAAAAGTACAATATTTAATTTCCTAAGCACCTTCTCATCCTCCAGTGTTGGGGTAGTCTTCTCATCTTCGATTCCCGAGTCAGAGTTAAAGGTCTTAGTCGACGCTTCGCTCTCACATTTCTCCACCTCGAGGACACCCTCATCAGTCAGCTTGTCCTCTTGATTATTTGGGAAGTGAATCTGTTGTGAAATGGGAACTATGTTTGGATCTGGTTGGGCCCCTCTCCTTGGGTAAGGTATCGGCGAGGGTGGGCAGGGTGTGGTGGAGCATGAAGTGTTTGGAGACTGGTCCCCTTCCAAACTGATCTGACTAGACCGGCATGTCTCCTTGTCTGGAGTCTAAAGGGAACAGAGAAGCATTGTTAAGAAAAACATTTAGTTTTTTTGGCTTAAAAGTTGCAGGTGTTCCTCCTAAATGTTAATGTTTTCAACCTTTGCTTCTAGTCCAAATGCTAATGGAAGGAGTTGTCACCTCTTGTGGAGTGTGATCAGTCTTGCTGGTTAAAAAGGGTCTAAGATGGCTATCCAATGTGTAATGAATGCACCAATAAAGTTTAAAAGCCCAAAGCAGTAAGCACATCCTTTGTTTTAAATGCAACGTAGCACTTCATAAAGTGACAAATTAGGCTATAAGTCACACAGGATCATCAAAACTGGACAATAAAATTATTTGTTTTACAGTTTTTGTGATCCTATGTAGTCTGCTCTGCGGACACGTTGATTGCAACTACAACATTTATGTATTTGGGTTAGAATTTGGTGTCAGCAACATAAATGCATGGATCCAAACTATCTAATATAAAGGTATGGAACCTTGGAACCCATAGTACCAACTGAGCACCACAGCCTTTCTTGGGTATTATTGTCCATGCTCATTATGACCACAGTAGAAAAAATCTTTTGATTGCATTTTCTAGCAGAATAATGCAACAGTTCAGAAAGCTAAAAAACAAAAACTAACTGCTTTCATGAACGCAGTCACCAGGTCAAAAATCAATCCAGCACATAGGGACATGATGGAATAGAAGAGCTGGCTGCAGTTCTCAAGGCAAAAAGTCTGACTTAGTATTCGCAGTGTACCCAAGAGTAATACATGCATGGAGGCTGAGATTTAGTATTTTTAAAGAGGCCAAATATTCATCTTTTATAAAGCCAAAGAACCAATAATAAACACATCCACTTTGGCCTTCTGTTGGCCATTCTAAGCTGCTTGGAAACCACCGTGGTTTAATTTGAAGGTCAGAATAAAGCATCAGAACAATGAGCAACCTTAAATAAGTTGACTCCATCAAGAGCAGCAGACAACAGTCTTTTCAGGAGCAAGGTTAAAAACGCCACCTAAATTTAAACTGCGTGAGGGCGTGAGTGAGTACCAGCATTCCGGTTACTGTTCCTTTGTTTGTGCTGACAGCACTCTTATACTGTTACTTTGTAATCTGGTGTCCTCTGTGTGGATTTTGTGATAGTTTCTGAAAACGTGCCATAAATCCAATGACAGGAAGGCTGTGATTACCAGGAAAGAATGCAACTCAGATGCAGAATATTTGGACTTTTAGGGTGAACTGCAGAAAGTGCATCATTTTCATTCCTCACTCGTGAGTTTTTACCTATGTGCATATACTGCCGCATATTAACGGATGGTAGAGTTACAGAAAACAGCTCCATTATGATGCAAACAAAGCTCAGGTGTGTTCCACAACTCCATAGCTCAAGACCATGACACCTTTCAGGAACACTTTTGAAAAAACGGCAAGTCCTGCCTTTCATTTTTGGAAATAATTAAGTGCAAAAAAAGAGAGAAAACCATGGTCTGTTACCTCAGTGAGCTCCATTATGTCTTCATCTTCTCCTTCCTCTCTATTGTCTTCGATTTCCACCATGACCTCAGCCTTGGCCTCAGCCACCAGCTCCATCAGTGGACGGTTAGACGTCACCGATCTCACAAAAGGGTGCTGTGGACACAGAAAGAATCTGTGAGCCTTTGAAGCTAAATATGGGTCAAACCAAATGTGAAATGAAGTCTGACACACAAACATTCATTCTTTTCATTCTCAGCAATGGGACTGATGTAACGACAAAAATAATTGACTTAACAACTACAAAACTGCATTTGCTTGAGGGCAACTGAGTATATTGTCAATGGATTTTCAAAACAAAAGACCACCGAGGAAAGCAGCAAACTCAGTCAAGAAAAAGATGAAAAGAAGTGAACTCAGAAACAGAATGTTAAGACGTCCAACATTAATTAAATAAAGCATAATCACGTGTAATTAAAAAAGCGGTTACTGCTAATAAAATATACTTGAAGAGAAAAATGTTAATCAGGTGAAAAGCAGTGGAGAATGAACATGCTATGGAAAGAAATACAACTTTGCATGGTAGAGTAACAATCTCAACACTAATTTCCCTCAGACATATTTGTTTGGATTAAAAATAATAATAGCAGTTTGAAGAAAACAAATTCAAAAGGAAAGTGCTGCAGCCACAAAATGCTAATCATTATTCTGGTCATTTGCACTTATTTATAAATGAATTAGAACAGCTGTCAAAAGGGAAAAGGCTGCAAGCGGTGCTGGTGTGTAGGTGTCAGTGTGTGTGTGTGTGTGTGTGTGTGTGTGAGAGTTCATAGTTGTGTATGTGCAGGCTGCTGTCCTAAAGGACTGCATTAACCTGCAGTTCATTGCTTCTCAAATGACAAAAAGCAGTCAGCTAATGTCTAATTGGCAGCGCTGCTAAGATCTGTTCAGCCCATTAGGACCTGATAGCACAACACCATCGGTGCCCAAGTGGAACGGCCACACTTAGGTTCCAGTTGTCAGTGGATGGGATGTGTAGGAAATGTATATAGGACTAGGTATTAAGGTAAATAATGTACCTAGACTATAATTAAACAAAAAGTATCGCTGGTCAATAGTCATCAATGGTGTCATTACTTATCTTGATTTTTATTGCTATTTTAAACCTTTGGTGGCTAAGATGATGGATCATGTTGGTATTTTGTTATTTTAAAACAGAAAATAATTTTAGTTGCTTGTTTTGTCTTTCTTGATTTTATGTAATTAGCTGATCTTGCTCATGTTTACTTTTTTTGTGTTATTTATGTTTGATCTATTTAGTACTGTATGTATGCATGTCTATGGGACTATGGATGGAAACTATTCTTGCCAACTCATTTACATACCAAGTATGTTCATCAATATGCTTTGTCCCTTTCAAATAAATCAAATTAATATGTGCATTAATGCAAAAATTTTAAATGTAAGAAAATAGACATTTCTTGTCTTTAAAGCAACAATAAAGATTAAGATGCTTTAAAGAAGATGTAGTGTAGTTTTAGTATTGGTATTTTATACACCAAGTAGGATTTCAAAAGCTTTTTATTTAGTGTACAGAATAAATAAATAAATAAATAAATAAATAAATAAATAAATAAATACATAAATAATAAATAAATACATTTATTATTTATCTGGCAAATAATAAATAAATAAATAAATACATCTCCTCCTTGAACCGTCACCTTATCGTGGTGGAGGAGTTTGAGTGCCCTAATGATCCTAGGAGCTATGTTGTCTGGGGCACTTAGTGCCCCTGGTAGGGTCTCCCATGACAAATTGGTCTTAGGTGAAGGGTGAGACAAAGAACGGTTCGAAGGATCTTTCATGGCGGTTAAAACGAAGAGTCGGAGTACCCGGCCCGGAGGGTTACCGGGGTCCCACCCTGGAGCCAGGCCTGGGGTTGGGGCCCGTGAGCGAGCGCCTGGTGGCCGGGCTTTCGCCCATGGGGCCCGGCCGGGCCCAGCCCGAACCGGATACATGGGCTCGTCCAACTGTGGACCCACCACCCGCAGGAGGAACATGAAGGGTCCGGTGCAATGCGAATCGGGTGGCAGACCAAGGCGGGAGCCTTGGCGGTCCAATCCCCGGACAAGAAAACTAGTTTTTGGGACATGGAACGTCACCTCGCTGGCGGGGAAGGAGCCGGAGCTTGTGGCAGAGGTTGAGCGGTACCGGCTAGATATAGTCGGACTCACCTCGACACATTGCATTGGCTCTGGAACCCGAGACCTGGAGAGGGGTTGGACACTCTACTTTGCTGGAGTTGCTCCGGGTGAGAGGCGGAGGGCTGGGGTTGGCTTTTTGTTAGCCCCGAGACTCTCTGCCTGTGTGTTGGGGTTTACACCGGGGGACAAGAGGGTAGCTTCCTTGCGCCTTCGGGTCGGGGAACGGGTCCTGACTGTTGTTTGTGCTTATGGGCCAAATATCAGTTCAGAGTACCCACCCTTTTTGGAGTCCCTGGGACGAGTGCTAGATAGTGCTCCATCAGGGGACTCCATTGTCCTGCTGGGGGACTTCAATGCTCACGTGGGCAATGACAGCTTGACCTGGAGGGGTGTGATTGGGAGGAACGGCCCACCTAATCTGAACTCGAGCGGTGTTTTGTTATTGGACTTCTGTGCAAGCCGCAGTTTGGCCATAACGAACACCATGTTCGAACATAAGGAGGCCCACCGGTACACTTGGTACCAGGGCAGCCTAGGTCACAGGTTGATGATAGATTTTGTAGTCGTATCATCTGACCTGCGGCCGTATGTTTTGGACACCCGAGTGAAGAGAGGGGCGGAGCTGTCAACTGATCACCACCTGGTGGTGAGTTGGATCAGATGGCAAGGGAACATGCTGCGTAGACCTGGCAGACTCAAACGCATAGTGAGGGTCTGCTGGGAACGCCTGGCAGAAGAACCTGTCAAGACGGTCTTCAACTCCCACCTCCGGCAGAGCTTTGACCACGTCCCGAGAGCAGTGGGGGACATTGAGTCCGAGTGGGCCTTGTTCCACTCTGCGATTGTCGAGGCGGCTGTTGCTAGCTGTGGTCGTAAGGTGGCCGGTGCCAGTCGTGGTGGCAACCCCCGTACCCGCTGGTGGACACCAGAGGTTCGGGGAGCCGTCAGGCTGAAGAAGGAGGCCTACAGGGCGTGGCTGGTCTGTGGGTCTCCGGAGGCAGCAGACAGGTACCGGATAGCCAAGCGGGGTGCAGCAGTGGCAGTTGCCGAGGCAAAATCTCGGGCGTGGGAGGAGTTTGGTGAGGCCATGGAGAAAGACTATCGATCGGCTCCAAAGAGGTTCTGGCAAACTGTCCGGCGCCTCAGGAGAGGAAGGCAGCAACTCGCTCACACTGTTTACAGTGGGCATGGGGAGCTGCTGACGTCAACTGAGGCTATAGTTGGACGGTGGAAGGAATACTTTGAGGAGCTCCTCAATCCCACCAATGCGCATTCCGAGGAGGAACCAGAGCTGGGAGGCCTGGGGATGGACTGTCCGATCTCGGGGGCAGAAGTTGCTGAGGTAGTCAAACAACTACACAGCGGCGGAGCCCCGGGGGCGGATGAGGTTCGTCCTGGGTATCTCAAGGCTATGGATGTTGTAGGGCTGTCATGGTTGACACGTCTCTACAACATTGCGTGGTCATCGGGGGCAGTTCCTAGGGAGTGGCAGACCGGGGTGGTGGTCCCCATCTTTAAGAAGGGTGACCTGAGGGTGTGTTCCAACTATAGGGGGATCACACTCCTCAGCCTCCCTGGAAAGGTCTACGCCAAGGTACTGGAGAGGAGGGTCCGATCGATAGTTGAATCTCAGATAGAGGAGGAGCAATGTGGTTTTCGTCCTGGCCGTGGAACTGTGGACCAGCTCTATACCCTTGCAAGCGTGATGGAGGGGGCATGGGAGTTTGCCCAACCAATCCACATGTGCTTTGTGGATTTGGAGAAGGCTTATGACCGTGTCCCCAGGGGCACCCTGTGGGGGACGCTCCAGGAGTATGGGGTGGGTGGCTTTCTGTTAAGGGCCATTCAGTCCCTTTACCAGAGGAGCGTGAGTTTGGTCCGCATAGCCGGTAGTAAGTCGGACCTGTTCCCAGTGAGGGTTGGACTCCGCCAGGGCTGCCCTTTGTCACCGGTTCTGTTCATCACTTTTATGGACAGAATTTCTAGACGCAGCCGTGGTGTGGAGTGTGTCGAGTTTGGTGGCAGGAGAATCTCGTCTCTGCTTTTTGCGGATGATGTGGTCCTCCTAGCTTCATCCAGCTCTGACCTTCAGCTCTTGCTGGGTAGGTTCGCGGCCGAATGTGAAGCGGCTGGGATGAGGATCAGCACCTCCAAATCTGAGACCATGGTTCTCGACCGGAAAAGGGTGGCTTGCCACCTCCGGGTCGGGGGAGAGGTCCTACCTCAAGTGGAGGAGTTTAAGTATCTCGGGGTCTTGTTCACGAGTGAGGGTAGGAGGGATCGGGAGATCGACAGGCGGATTGGTTCGGCGTCTGCAGTGATGCGGACGCTGAGCCGATCTGTCGTGGTGAAGAGGGAGCTGAGCCAGAAAGCCAGGCTCTCGATTTACCGGTCGATCTACGTCCCAATCCTCACCTATGGTCATGAGCTTTGGGTAATGACCGAAAGAACGAGATCGCGGATACAAGCGGCCGAAATGAGTTTCCTCCGTAGGGTGGCCGGGCTCAGCCTTAGAGATAGGGTGAGGAGCTCGGACATTCGGGAGGGACTCGGAGTAGAACCGCTGCTCCTCCGGATCGAAAGGAGCCAGTTGAGGTGGTTTGGGCATCTGGTCAGGATGCCTCCTGGACGCCTCCCCGGGGAGGTGTTTCGGGCATGTCCTGCCGGCAGAAGGCCCCCGGGTCGACCCAGGACACGTTGGAGAGGTTACATCTCCAATCTGGTCCGGGAACGCCTTGGGGTCCTGCCGGAGGAGCTGGTGGACAAGGCCGGGGAGAGGACGGCCTGGAGCTCCCTAATTGGGATGCTGCCCCCGCGACCCGGACCCGGATAAGCGGAGGAAGACGAAGACGAAGACGAAGATAAATACATGAAAAAATTTAATTAAATGACAAATACAATCAGAAAATAAAGCTTAATTCAAAGATTAAAGCATTTTAGACATTGATTGATGTTTAACGATACATTATTTTATATCAAACAGTCCATTTCAGGAGAAATTTTGTGATCATTTGGTAGATTTTTTTATTAACCAATATTTGGGTGAAGCCTTGAACTGTCATTTAAACCTGTATTTCCTTTTTCTTTTTCACTATAATAAAACATATTTTTTCACAAAAACCCTAATTTTCACAAATGAAAAAAAAAAAGGTTGGCTTTGTGTTTTTTGCAGTGTGTGCAAATTCTGACTTTCAGTTAAGTAACTACATCTACTTACATTTGTTTTCTTGTCTTGATGCATTTAAAAAGAATTTAAAACAAAGGTTGAAACAAAAGTAATTCCTCTCAACCACCTCTTTCATTCTTCCAAATGCATGCATCACTTGCTGTGTTTTGCTTGTTTTTGGCCAGTTCACACATGAAGACTTTAAAACATAGCAATCAAGACTAAATGCTGCCTCCTCCCTTTTCTCTACAATCTGTTAAGGTCATTTAGTCTAACTTACAGTTGTGGACTTCCTACTCTGTCCTTGGTCTGAAAAAACTGTTTTTAAATCAAAATATACCTTCTTTTTCTCTCAAGTAGATGAAAAAATGCAGACTGGGTAGCACTGCACTGTCAAATTTAACCACGTTTTGGTTTTCTAAAGATGAGGAGGATCAGTGGAGCTTACTGTTTGTCTTTTCTGTTGTCGTTCACACCGTTTTAGAGTCAAAGTAACATGTATGATTTGAAAGGTTTAAGTGTGAACAACATGACACTGTTACAAAAACCAGGAGCTGAACCGAGGAAGGGTTCCTTGTGATTCTACTACGAAGGGAAAGAAAACGAGATTTATGCGTTTATTTATTCAACAGTATTCAGTTATGGCAGCAAAGGGCAGTCCTCATATATTCAAAGTGCAGTTTAGAGGTGAAAATGTAATTATGTTATATTTTGGTGTCTAAAATTAAACTTTGTTTTGCCTGAACTTTAAATTAAAATGAGATTTTCACCGTACACGAGTTGCTCACATAAGTGGATGATTACACATCTTTCTAAGGCCCTGGCAATAGCTAATTTTACAAGTCAATAAATATTCTTATATAGATAATTGATGTGGAAAAAAAGGAGGGGGGGTGTGTGTGCATAAAATTGCCCTCCATGAGAAATCAGATGGAGAAGCCGTTTGTGATGCACACAAGTCATGGAGATGGACTGCAACCAGCCACAAAAGCCATTGCAACTAATAATAAGTAATGTTTTGTAAACAATCCTTATTGGAAAATATGTGGGATATACATGAGACTAGAGTGATTCATTCCAGTTTTCCAAAAAAAAAAAAAAAAGGATGACTTTAAGACTTTATTCACCGCCACACATACAGTTTTGGAATAGGTTATTGTTGGGGTTAGGTCATAAACCACCAAATCATCACAATTTATTTGTTTAATCACCGCAACATTTGTTTTCTTCAAGCTATTAAACTATTTGAATGCCTGCATTGCAAAGTGTGACCTGAAACCAGTTATAGTCATTGATAAGATCTTGTTGAAATGTTTGCTGACATCATCCGACATCCGCTGCACAGCCCTGCACAAGTGGGATAAGCAAGCATGATAGACATCTAAAACTTCCAAAAATTCAAACCGCACCCATCCCTCTGACCCCCCTTGAAGGAGAACACACACAGGATTCCCAGTGGGAATGGGTCTAGGATTTTCATGTCTGCTACACTCTAATTGACACAAAGTCTTAAGCAGAGTGGTCCTAGCATAATATTGGCTGAAAGCTGGAATGTAAATAGCTGACATTCCCTCAGCAATGGAATTCAGACAGGAAACTGTGCCTCTGAATTTTAATAGATGCTACTGTCCACACCCAGCTAGCTGCTTTTTCATTTGCCTGACTCAAGTTTATGCAACTTGAATTAAAAAAAAAAGTTTTTTTAGCTTACTTCAATATTAGCATTTCTGGGAAACAAGCATCAGTGGTTTACTTTGAGTCATGAAGAGGGGTGCTGTATTACTGTACTACTGTCATTCCAACTATTTCTTATTGAGCTCAGAGGGCACTGTAGGAACAAATCACTAATGTATGTCGAAGATAAACCTGCTACCACATTCAGTGTGTTTTCATAATTAGAAATTTAATTAGAAATTGTAATAATTTTGGGTGTAATAAAACATTTCATTTGACTTCCACCTAGCCTCTTCCAGTTTTTTTGTCAAAAACTGGGGGCTTGTCCAGGATTTGCAACTATTGCTGTTCTTCTGAATCTCGTTTAAATCTAATAATTGCACCATGATGCTGGTACTTGGCTAAATTATTAAAATAGAAACAGGTGCCCAGTGGACAGATTCACTCAATGTATGTTTTGCTTTTTGTTCAACCATGAAATTAATTATCAACACCTATTGCAATGGAGTGTGGAATTTCAGATGCATGTGTTGGGTACTGAGAAGGCATGCTGGATGGACAGCTGCTGACCAATCAAATAATTGTTTTTCTTTATCTTCATTTTTCACTGAAATCATCAAACCTACACAGGTTATGCTCTCTTTCTTAACATTTACAGGCGACATATGCAACAGTCATCTGTGCTGCAATGTGGGTCTCTACTGCTTCTATAAACATGCACAACTTGAAAAAGAAACCATCGGTTTTCTGTCAGTGTCTGGTTTTAGCAATTTTGTGAGTAAAACAAGCCATTTCAAAAAGTCGAGGATTTGTGATGTCACAATCGGGGAAAATGGCATTGTGCTAGAAAGACATACTGCTTCAAGAAATGTCATATTTAAAATAATAATTTCAACGCATGAAAAATAAAGCACAAACCATGTTTTATGAGATCAAAGTTCAACGTTGTATTTATTTTTTTCAATATTAAAAACAAACTATATCAGGTCTTACCTCTAAGAGTTGTGTAGCACTTGGACGAGTTTCTGGGTTTCTATCCAATGCTTTTTTCAAGAAATCATTAAAATCCTTTGACCTTGGGTAGAAACATAAAAACAAAATCAATTTAAATGAGGGGGAAAAAAAGACTAAATGAATAAAAAAAATGTGCTACATATTGAACAGTTCTAAATTAGCACTTTTGGCACGTGATATTTATTTTCATGCACATCTGTGCTTTATAAAACTAGCAGTGATGATTCAGCAACCCATCCCTGATAACTTTGCTTTTGCTGCAATAAATTTGCTACAGTGGAACAATATGACTAGTAAAACCTGGCAGGAAGATTAACAGTTTGGCACTTGCTAAAGTCCTTACTTGTTAAGTTGTTAAAGCACTTCAGGAGAGAGAGAGAAGCACAATAGTGCTACATGGGATGGCTAGAGCATTACTTATTGTTCACCATGTGTGTAGAAATAGCAAAAGAATGAACTAGATTGACAGATTTATGACCTTGTTGGCTCCATCTGTCACTTTTTATGCTTTAAATAAATTACTCTTTCCTGCTTCCCTTACTCCCATGCAGTTTTTTACCAACATGCAACATGTGATCTCACCATTTCTGTGGATAATCCAGAGTGGGAGGCTCCGATTTTGCAATCTTCAGCAGCACCCTCATGGGGTTGAGCTCGTGGTGGGGGGGTTCAATCTGGGCGAGCTCAATCAGAGTGATTCCTAGAGACCAGATGTCAGCCTTGAAGTCATATGGAGCATCTTTTGTTGTCTCACACATCACCACCTCTGGAGCCATCCTGGTAGAGACAAACAGAAGATTATACCACTCAAATATGAGTTTTCACATCAAATCATCCATACTAGTTGTAGCATCCATATTCTGTTTGGATAGAAAATGAAAAACTAGAAGATAGATTTGTTAAATTCTTGATTTTTTTTTTTGACAAACCTTTTTTTCCCCAACACACAAGTATTATGTAACATAAGATCACAATTGAGTTTTAATTGAGCTGGGTTGGTACTCATATCAGCCACTATTGATAGATGATAACAAGTTCTGGTTAATGGTTAACCATAGAAGGAAAACAGTGGAACAAGGTTCACTTTGAAGCCTTTGCCCAAGTGTCAAGAATAGCTTGTTGCTAACAACAGAGGATAAAAGCTGCAATAGCAAATTTTGAAAACAAATTGGCTTAATTTTTTTCAAGCCTCTTAATGACGTTTTAACAAAGAAAACCCATAGATATACTGTCGAGATTAAAAAAGCAACAACAGCAAAAAAATAAATAAAATAGTGGTTCTCTCATGTTTGTTTAAAAACCTCCGCCAATAACACATTTCGGACACAACCACCGGACCATCCAGATGTCAGTCTCGCCAAACTTACGCACTTTCTGGGTCCTCCATTACTTATGCACTTGAGTATTTAGCATAACACCACTGGTGTGAGAGGTTCGTGGCTCAAAAATATCAGAGGAGAAACAGCCGGCTGCTACCACTTTAACATTAGACCAAACTAGTGTCTCAAAACAAAAAACTTCACCATTTGAAGTAACGGACAACAAGAGACGTTTGAACCTAGAAAACAGCAACAGGTGTATAGCACTATCTTGTTTTCAGCATTGCAAGTTTCTGATTCCAGCAGAAGAATCTCAGGGAAGAAACCCGTTGGGAGGGGTGAGTGTTCCGCGACTGTGTTCACGTTCAAAACCTGTAAAGCTGTGAAGCTGTAAAGGTGCTCAGTTGAGTTTATGCAAACTGGTTGAAATCCCTGTGGTCAGTTTTTCAATGACTGTGCATGGTCTTAAAATCTAAGTTAACACAGCTCACTTCAGTGTAGCTGATTTTCTCTGCTATATCCGTGACTAAGCGCCGAAGCGCCTCGTGATTTTTATCTTGAGGCCCTATATAAAATATCTTTTCTTCTTCTAAAAGTAGGCGCACTCGTCATAGTGAGAGGGGAGGAAGGGGCAGATCGGCGGCACTCACGGGAGAGGAGGGACCCGAGGCACTTGAGATCTTTACTCAGGACAAAAATTATGTGAGGTGAGCTGTAAACAGTGTGAGGAGATCTGTATGCTACACAGAAGCACAACACAGCACAACAATGGCAGCGATCTTGAACACTGTGCTTAGTCTTTGGGTTTTTGTCAGTTTCTGAACCAGGAATTGGATGCAGACACCAAGGCAGAAAGCTCTGCAACAGCCAGTGACTCCACCCCCTAGCCAATCAGTGGCTGACAGTCATTTCCAGACCAGGTCAGCACGATGGGAACCACAAAACAGGGACTGAAACAATGTTGGGAAATATCAAACTGTATAAGGAATTACCCAAAGTGCATGGTTATATGTGAAGGTTGGAGAACCAGTAAATCACAATATTCACTTTGTGACTTGGCTCCCTTTTTTTTAGTGAAGTAGACTGATTTAGTGCCTGCATCCCATCAGATGTGTATGTTTATGTTCATTTGGCAGACACTTTTATCCAAAGCGACGTACAATTTTTAACTTGTAGGGCATGCTGTGATCTGTAGGGAAAACCGGAGTACCCAGAGGAAGCCCACGCATGCATGGGGAGAACACGCAACTCCACGCAGAAAGGCCACAGCCGAGTTTCGAACCTGTAACCTTCTTGCTGCGCCAACTGCGCTAACAACTGCGCCACCATGCAGCCCCAATCAGATTATCCTAGTTCAAAACTCAGTCTGGAATGAAAGGGTGGATGATGATCTGTATTCTAGGGCTTTGTATGACATTTTTGCCAGTAATGAAAAACAGTCTGAAGACAACAAAATGACTGAGTTGTTTAAAGATTTAATGCGCTGTATCAGGTAAAGCTCGCTATAATTACTCAAAGTAGAAAATGAACTAGGATGCCCGTTTGATGTGCGTCTGTTACTCACCAGTATGGAGTTCCAATGAAAGAATCTCTTCTTTGTAAGGTTTTGTTGTTTTTTGCAGACACGCCAAAATCAGCTGGAATTTTAAACAAGGAAAAAACAACTCAATTAAATAAAAATATTAATAAAAAACATTGAAATGTTGTGGACAAAGTTATTATAGGTGGAGACACAACTACAAAAAAAATTAAGTGATTTTATAGCAGTCCTGTTTCCCAAACAAGCTGCCCAAACCCCCTGACAAAAGCATTAGATTACAGGAGTGTCGTTTTTCCTCTGGCACACAGAACTTTCGCTCTATTTTTATTTTGTGAATAGGAATGTTTATAAGCGGGACAGCCGAGGCAGGGACATTTTTGGCAGAGGTCCTTGGAACTAGAACACAAGACAACAAGCTTCGATTACTGACATATTCAGCTAGGGAACCCCACGCTGCCTTAGTTTGTTTCAAATATGTCCATCCCTTCAAATTAAACTGATCATTTCAGCTTCAGCTGTTTACAGTCTAGCGAATTTCTATAAAGTGAGAAGGAAACAATTGTTTTCACAGTTTTTCTTTCACTAAACATTTTAAGAGGAAATCCCAATAGACAGAAATAACTAAATAACTGAGTTCTGAGCTGTTTCACCCATTGAAATTTAACAAAAAATGTGTTTAAATACATCATTTTGAGTACTTAATGCAATAAGATTCTGCTGTCTTTCAATTAATTGTCCATGAAAGACAAAAAACTGAAGTTGCCTGCTGCCTGAGGAGCTTGTCTAATATTGAACCTCACTTGAGCGTTGGATGCACTCAACTGTCCTCACAGACAGTTAATTGCCACCTAGCTTGAATTAACATTCATTATATAAGTTGGGAGATTGTAAATGAGGCTGTGTCATGACATAATGACTTTAAAGAGGCAACTCCCAGTAATTACATCTGACTGTGGTGTGCTAAGGAAGAATGTCGGGCCGTAAAAACGGTTCCTATAAGAAAACACAAGCCCATCTGAGAGAATCCATAGGTTCTGAAAAGTATGACTCATTTGTTGCTATGATGCACATCAAAATAAAACCAAAACTAATGATGGTTCTGAAGGAAAGTAGCATCAACCCTTTTAGACCTTTTGAGCTGCCTGAACTTAGACTCAAAAGAACATTAAAACTGTTGAATACGCCTTTAATGAATACAATTGCAGTGGTCTCTAGTAGGAATTAGCAATGTGTACTGGTAAAATTCTTGCAATTCGATACATTTCACGATACAGGGGAGATGATATAATATATCATGATATATTGTGATACATTCAGCCAGATAATTAGCAATTTTTTTGACTGATTTTATTGTAGGAAAATTCAATAAACAGTCCAAACTGATACTTGACGTGTTTAACATGAGGTGTCACACTGCTGCTAACTAGCGGTTGGCGTTTGAATTGCAACAAAAGAAAAGAAAATCCACAAATGCTTACATGTAAATTATTTCCAGAATTAGATACACAGCATTTGAATATCAACATTATATTGCTAGAAAAAAATCACGATATATTGCCATATCGATATTTTCTTACATCCCTAGTAGGAATTAATGCATTTTAAGTCATATTCTGTTAGAAAAAAACTGAATAAAGTGAGCCAGCTGAGCGCTAGACAGCAGTCTTATTTCCTGATATGTGGACATCTCACCTCTGATTGGCTTAGAGCAACGCAACTCTACTCCATTTTCTTTGTGACGTTGATGTTTTATCTCCACACACAACACAAGCCTGAAGGAGTTCTGTCATGTGGTGGAGTTGCTAATGCTAACTGTTAGCTTCTACTAGTCGAGACATTCTCGGCTGTTTCCTGGATGCTAAACCAACAACAGCCTTCCCTGTCGTGAGCCAAGATGGGTGACTCCATAAGTGACAGTGTGACGTAGATCTGTCAGACTTTTCAAATCCTAGTGTTTCACTCTATTTCCTATCAGAAGCTAATGCAAGGGATAGGTGTAGGAGACTATTTTCATTTTCAACATGCATGAAAAACTCAGAGTGACCAATTATAATCAGAAATAAGATTTTAAAATGGTTTTTCAGTGTTCCACAGCTTTAAGACAACAATTCTTCCACTTTTTTCCCCCAACAGCCACACTTCAATCCAAAACACACTGGCCTTTGGGTTGGGTCCACAACCTCAGCAGCTGTGCAATGTTAAGAATGTGGAGAACTCTTCAAAGTCAATAAAAGGAAACATTCTCAAAATGTCATTTTTCCCACACAGAGCTGGATTCTGATTCATCGACAGAGGGACTTAATGCCCCCGACTATGCCTTTATGTTAATAAAAATAATATTCAGTATACAGGTAACCGATGAAGTGAGGATGTGACGGTCTTCCACTAAAAGTGTTTTTTTTTAATTAAAACACTTATTATATATTCTATTTAATTTGGATTTTCTGCTCCTTTTTGGTTAAAATTCATTACACATATTTACTATGTAAAAGCAAAGCATGTGACCTTATTTATTTAGTGCTTTCACACAACCATGAAATCTAACAAAGTGTGACCAATAAAAAAACCAACAGGCATAAAAACAAGAATTTAAAGGAGATTGGCTATAACTTTGCTAGGAAGCAAAAATGATTCTTCAGTTGACTCTTTAAGGTGTGGAGTGAAGGCACTTGCCTAATGCTTTTTATATTTCTATACCTCAATATCTACTCATCACTGGAAACATCCCTTGTATTCTGTTCATCTTATGATATTTTGTCATGACTCACGTGTCATAGGAATTTTGCTACATCAAAAAAATCCAGCTAAACTTTTTATATCGCAGCCATATTACCCCTGTACTGAAACTTCTTCACTGGCTCCCTGTCAGTCTCCGAGTACAGTTTAAGTCATTGACTTTTGTGTTTAAAGCACTCAACAACCTGGCACCTCCCTATCTCTCTGACCTGCTCACTCCCTATGTACCCACGTGCACGTTGAGGTCGGCTGACCTCCTGCTGCTTTGCACTCCCCAGATGCGTTACAAAACACGGGGTGAACGAGCATTTGTACATGCTGTCCCAAAGCTGTGGAACTCTGCCTATTATAGTTTGATAGGGTCCATCATTGGTGGTTTTTAAATCTCGTTTAAAGCCCCACTTTTACGACTTGGATTTTAGACAGTGACAAATTTTATTGTTTTATTGTATGTGTGTTTTAATGTGTTCTTAGTATTCCTTATGTTTGATTTGCTTTTATTGATCAGAATTTTTATCCTCTATTTTTTGTTGCTTTGATTAGTTGTGATTTGGTCCAGCCTGTGCAGCACTTTGGGCAGCTCCCATGCTGCATTTTAAATGTACTATATAAATAAACTACGGTATGGTATCTATAAGAAGTACCTTATGTAAATACTATGAATGCATTTATCACCAGAAGTTCTCAACATATTGAAACTTCAGAGCTTGTGAAACAAAACCCTTACCAAGTTTGATGTCTCCATTCAACATGAGGAGGATGTTACCAGCCTTCAGGTCTCTGTGGATGATCTTTAGGCTGTGGAGATACTCCAGAGCCTCCAACATCTGGCGGCAGACCACTTTGATCTGTGGCTCCGTCAGTCCTCGATCTAACTCTGTTAAGAGACGAGATGGTGAGACGGAGAGGTTCAGTACAAAAAATAAAACAAATACAAACTAGAAGAGGAACAGAAAGATGTGAAGGTAGGGCTCAAAAGACATCACACACTGGCACACACGTTTACAAATGGTCATGGTACAACTTCAACTTACAAAGAATCATATCAGAGGAAACATCACAAGATCAAATATCAGAGCAGATAGTGTGGCTGGAAGGTAATCCCTGGATAGAAAAGTCCAAACACAGTTGGGCCCATAGACTGGACTTTACTTTGTCTGTGTTTGGTTAGCTAAGGAGGTTCAGGCAGTTATGAAGAGGTGGATTATTCAGTCAAAACAGACCAGGAGAGTTTCCCACACCCGAGAGTCAGCCATTCAGTATCAGACTGTCAAAAGTGCATGGCATGAATATGAAGGGGGTGCAGAAAAATGTCCATATAGGTGTTTAATCTTCAATAGATGAAGTTTTAGTGAATGCATTGGATCTCTGATCTTGGAGAAGCTTTTCTGGTGTCTCTCCAACTTTTCAAAGGCATTTGCTGAAAAGGCAACATTACCAGGGTTGAGTGGTTAGAGAGGTAAAAAAGGGGAAAGAGGTTCTACCTAACATGTTGGCATCCATGGCACCTCCAGGGCAGAACTCAATCATGATCTGTGAAAAAGGAGAGAAGAGGTCACGTTGAACCCAAATGTATACAGTCAGAATAAAATCATAGTTTTTAAAAGAACAAAAATCAACTAAAACTGGACTTCTGGTTTCAGCAGATGCACTCTATATTTCTGGCTTGATGGCCAGAAACGTTTTCCACCTCAAAGATCTATCTCTGTAGGTCACTAACTTAGTTTCTCTGGTGACACTACAATGATAAACAAGAGTTGCAAATTAAATAACTGGATTGAAACTGTGATCTGTGACAAACAACCAGGCATTAAGAGGATATGCTGCATGAGACACACTGCCAACTAGTTCACCAGAGAAGCAAAAACACGACCAAAGAGAGCATTAATGGCTTCCTCTTAGCTGACAGCAGAACTCGATCAGCATTTATAACCTAACCCTTCAAAGCCAATCCACCCAAACATTAAAACACATCAACTTGATTCATAAAACTTCAATGACACACAATTTAGAAAATCAAAGTGTGTAAGAAAACAATTTGTGTATAAATGTAAAATTGTCTGATTTATTCGAATGCAGATGATTTTTTTTATTCCAAATGGTCAGAGATCAGCTGCGGGTGTAGAACATTCCTTTTGCTTTATCTCAGTCATGTATCATCACCCAGTCCCTGGCTGCTATGACAACACCACCAATCATCGGACTGGTACCAGACAAGGAGTGGCCTTTTAGTCAAGCTAGTTATGAGTACAAAGAGTGCATGAAGAATGTCAACCTTGGCTAATAATGCTCTTTTGTGAGGACTTGATTAACCCTAATAGTTTTGGTTTTAGTCACAGTTTTATCAAGGACTTTTACTTCATCTTCGTCAGTTGAAAAGTGTATTTAGAACTCAGTTTTCTCATTGACTAGTTCTATGTTGCACAGGTTTTGGAAATTTAGGGATGTAAGAAAAATATTAATACATTGAAATATTATGATAGTTCATGTTATGACACTGAATCAATATTTATTTGCGTTTTATTTGCAATCTACATGCCTACATTTACTTGATTTCTTTTGTGTGGTGCAATTCAAACTCCGACTGCTAGATGGCAGAAGTTTTTACCGCCTTCATTCTGACAGAACCTAAAGATCTCAGGATAACACCAGATGTGTCTTGGAAGATCCTGGCCTGAGTTTTCTAAATAAAAAATTTAAATTGGCAAATATCGTCCAGCTTCTAATTTCACATTATATTACATCATATCCGCTGTATTTTGATATATATCATGTTGCCAGATTTTTGCTAAAACACAAGTCTATCATGTTTTTTTGTACAATTAAAGTTTGTTCAAAAGGACAATGAGACATAATGACATAAACGACTCTTCAGGGAGTAGGGAGACAGAGTACTCATTGGTAGTTTCAGCTCGTTTAGCAACAACAGAGAGCTACGGTTTATGAGCTTGACCCTCACATATTCCGGTCAGAATTGAAATAACTGCTTGGATGAGAAGTAAAACGTCTTTGAGAAACCAAATAAGTCCCCTTTGGATTTCATTAACTGCCCAACGTCAATAAACTGATAAAGAATTTAGAATCACCGCCCAAAACACAATATTTCACATTAATCTCCACTGACGACTCTTGAAATGAACAGGGAAAAATGAACAGCCAAACAAACCACCAATAAGATTCAAAGATTTAAATGACTATTTTTACCAACAAAACGAAGGGAGAACAATCAAAAGCGTGTGAACTACTTCCCGATGACCAGCCAAAACGCCCATTATTTTTGTTTTGGTCTTTCTGTGGCAGTTGTTGTCCTCCCTGCCCAGAGGAATTATGGGTGACGTGCTGAGCCGAGGAGGAGAATGTGCTCCAACTGCCCAAACTGCATGTAAAGCATACCTTCTGTGGGTGGAACATAGCACGCGGACCAAAGTCTTTAGTGGATACACCAGACTGTCTAACAGGCTGCTAGTGTCATCTCGTCTGAGCTGCCAGGTGTTCAGCGCTATGATAAAATAAAGTTTGTGTTTAACTGACAATACTTGCAAAACATAAAATTCATTCAAGCTAGTCTTGAATAGTCATAAATTAGAGCCAATTAAAGGCCACCCATTGGTTAATAAAGGTTATTTGAACAGTTTTCTGTAAATCAGAAACTAATCAGAGAGCTTTTAAAAGTGTTGAGACATATGGAGCTAACTTCGCTGACTCTGCAGTCATCCTCCATTTCACTGCTTGGTAGTTTGAATGATTTACCTGCCCATTTTCCCAAGAGGGTAAATGAAAGAGAAAGGCTGGTCTCTAGCAAAGAACTGCATCCAAACTGCAAGTGCACTTTACACAGTAGAAAAGCAGGATAAAAAAATGTTGACACATGCAAACGTTCCCAATCCTAGCTTTAACATTTAATACAGTGGTCTTTGTTGTCTAAAACTGGATGAAAATGTCCTTGGATCTGGTTTGATTATTGAGTAGTAACAGATAATGAATATTATGAGTTTTACTGGATGGTGGGTGGGTTATGAACACAGCTAAGATTGATATGTTCTTCTCTTGACACTAGAAGGAGATTTACTTTTGCTTATATTGGTAAAAACAAAAAGAAAGAAAAAAGGCAATTAATAACCTCAGAGAAAAGAAACTAATTATTTCAACCTTATGCAACTTTTTTCATAATTTCTTCAGCCTGTATGTGCTAAAATGGGCCTTTACAATGTTAATGACATGGCACTCAGACCCCCACCGCATTCTGTGGCCAGAATGACACACTTGCAACTTCAGAGTGGCAGACCACCAGTTGTGCACTTAGAAAAATTGAGCTGACATACCTGGCGCTGCAGTCTGCTTCCAGCAGGTTTCCTGCATGTTTTAGATCATGAACACAGCTGATTTGTCTAATTTAACAATGAACCGATCCTGTAGACACTAATGGAGGCTGGGTAGAGGGTTCAGCTGTTAGATGAAGGTGTTAAAAAGATGAACGTACAGCGAGGAGATAAGTTTTGCTTTTGGTTCTACAAAATAAACACTAGGGGGTGCTAAAAGCAAGTCAAAACTGCCAAGTGTGCCTTTAATTAGGAATCTAGGTTCTTGTGAATTCTATATATGTTGAGGAAATGTTGTTTTTAGGGAAGGATAATCATATTCTTAACATAAACTGGCTGAAATGTATTAAAATGTATGAGGACGACACTTACTTCGACTGAAAACATTCATACTTTAAGCAGCCATGATTAAGCACTGCAACAGCACTAAATGGTGTGCTCTAATGTATTGTCATGCATCTGTCTTCCTCTATTCTCACTGTTGCTCTCCATTCTTCTAGAAATGCTGATGTCAGCATTTTGTAATAAAGGCCCTGTTTTTCTCACAACGTGGGCTAGCCAGCCTTGCTCGCCTCAACACCAGATTTTCCCCTGAAGTGAGAAACAGCTTTTTCTCTCATCTTGGTGGAAAGCAGAAGGGTGGGTCCCCTTTTTCTACAGTTCACACATCGGGAGGTAACTGAAGTCTCACTGCTAACCGGTTAATTGTAAAAATCCTAGCTGGGCCATCAAAATATGTTATTGTTTTCTAAGACCTAAAAGAATTGATGGTTTAGTTACTAAATACAACTTGGATATGAGACAAGAAAGCAAAAGCAGTAGCTCTGAAGCAGACAGACACCAACAGGAAGCATGTGGTTTCATTGCAAAAGCAAGGTGTTTGTACATCTGGTTCATCAGAATAAATTAATTGTCTAAGCGCCCAACGCCGACTTCTGGAGAAGGTTCACCCTTCACATTCTGGAACTTCAGCCATGGCCAATGATAATACAGCTGTGGTCAGTTGTTGGACCATCATACAGATGTGTGAAAGTATATCAAGTTAGATTAAAGTGTTCAGGATATGACTTTTTTTGTTCTGTGCCATTCATTGGAAGTAGTAAATAAATTAATTCCTCTTGGGGAACTTATTCTCTGTATTTGACCCATCCCAAAGAAGCAGTGAGCATCCACTCCCGCACATTAGAGTGACTGCAATGCAGGAGTCTCAAACGCCGATCCTCGAGGGCCACACAGTCCAGCATGTTTTAGTCATTTTCCTGCTTAAAGAGCAAGTCACCCCCAAATAAACTTTTTTTGCTGATAAAACTACATAAATGCGTGTCTAATCATGCTGCAGACACGTGTAGTCAATAATTTGGTACTTCAGTGCATCTTAGTTAAAATTTAAATATTCTGCCTAAAACTGTCAGTGTTGTGCCGTCGTCAGGTAAAAACTCTGCACTGCATTTGAATTTAAATCTGCCACCGCTATTGGCTAAGAGGTATGCTATGATGTAAACTGGTCCTTATGATGTCACAATGTCGTTGTGAGCCTGTGTGTGTGTGCATTGGTTTGCGGCTCCGCCCTCTCTGTCTGCTAGGCAACAGCATTTGTTGCATTTTTCAAACATGAAGAGGGAGTGAAGTAAGTTTCTTGTAGGGGGTGACTTGCTCTTTAAACAAACCTAACTTTAATCAGCAGGTGATTAACAGGCTGAACAGGTGATCAAACCATTGAGTCAAATGCTGGGAAACAACTAAAACATGATAAAATGGTTGTACTTGTGTAGCACCTTCTTAGGGTTCTTCAACCCCTCAAGGTGCTTCACAACACATTCGGCCCATTTTCCATTCACATACTGGTGGGGATGAGCTACGATGTAGCTACAGCTGTCCTGGGGCACACTGTCAGAGGCAAGTCCTGCTGAACACCTGCGCCACCGAGCCCTCTGACCACCACCAGCAGGCAAGGCAGATTAAGTGTCTTGCCCAAGGACAAAACGGCAGCATTGTCTGGTCAGAGCCAGGGTCAAACCTGCAACCTTCCGACCTGCTCTAGCTCCTGAGCTACTGCTGTCCCTAAAACCTTTTGGATTAAGGCCCTTGAAGACCAGGGTTTGAGACCACTGCTGCCATGTAACAATAATTCACCCTTTAGACTTGGCGTAAATGGTATCTTTACTACATACTATGATTGATCATCAAAAATCTGCTTCTGAATCAAACATACATCACATACGCCCACGAGTCGTGTTTTACATCAAATCAACTAGTTTGAGTCCTCGTGTGGGTAGAGGGTAAAGCCACAACCCTTGCCTGCCACCCTACTTGAAATGCACCCAAACTTGACTCTTATCCCCACAGTTGGTGCACCCACATGGAGAGGACTTCCTCTTCTTTAGGCCGAGCCTGGCAGAAACTCCAATAGCCAATGTCTGAACACCAGGGGCTCACTTACGAACAGTACTCCAATACCTGGCCCAGTCTTTCCTTTTTAGGAAAGGCCACTCGTCCCTTAGGTACTTTAACCTCTCCACACCTTTAACGACACCAAAGAAATGATCAGAAAAACCACTCACATCATGACCTACTTTAGTTGCATTGGCAACACTGAATGGATTGGATGATCATCGATTGGACCCAAGAAATTTCAGTTTCTGCATCAAATAAAACTTAAATGTGTTTTTAGCATTAAAAAACCTCCATGGCTATCTGAAGACCTAAAACCATCAGGCAGTCCCTCAGATATTCGAGGGTTAGGGTCACCAGTGTTTGCCTTGGCCAGAGAGGGGAGGACCACAGTAAAAGTAGGTTACTCTTGGCCCAGGGTGAGCATGTGGAGACGAAAAAAAGTGTAAAAGCAGGAAAATAAATATTCTAAGTGAAATTGATCTAAAACAATATTTCACCCTAGAGATAAATTGTCACCCCCACTTAGCTATCCACATCTCTTAGACAGAAACACACTCGAGACAAAGTTGTCAGAGTGAAGAGAAACATCCCAACAGTCTTTAAATCATTTATGTCTGACCCTTGCTGTGTTACTTACCCAGAGCTTGTTATCATAATAATATGCATTGTACAGTTTGACAATGTAGCGGTGGTCACATTTAGCCAGGATGTCGATCTCGACGATGTAGTCCTGCAACTCTTCTTCACATTTTGTCTCGATCACTTTGGCTGCAGCCAGAACGTCTGTCTCCTTGTTTCTGGCCTGCAAGGCAGAAACAGAACATTAAATTCAACAACTAGGAGGGATTTTCAGCTTTTTACATCCACGTCCTGAATTTCATCTATCCAAGATTAAAGATCAATCAAAATAGAAGTGACTTGTTTTAAAATGTACAGAAAATATGAAAAAAAGTAAAAAGTGGAGGGTGTGGCTGTGCCAAAAATATGTTTTTGAAACTGCTTCATGTGTCAAAATAAAGATTTAGAGAACACGATTATGCATAAGCCACTGGAAAATTCCATTATGACTATTTTCCCCAATTATAAAATAACTGAGCTACTTTTCAGTCCCATAATAGCATTACAAGCATCATGAGCAATCGAAAAGTAACTAAAATGCTGACAGATATTTCAAGACACTCAAAAAAGAAAGCTACACACTCTTTACAAACAACCAGAGACAAAAGAAAGAAAAAATAACAATTTAATGGAAATTTACAAAGATTACAAGTGGTGCAAATGTGAACAATTTAATCAGCTTAAGAGACAAACATGAGAGGGACTCACACGACACCAAAAACAAAAGCAGAAACCGACATTATGTGAGAGACTGTGAATGCACTGATGTCATGTGTGACAACGATATTGTGGTTCTGCAGTCAGACCCACATGTTCAGGTTGTGACTGCTGAGTGAGTACAATAGAAACAAGGTAAAAAACAACATTAAAGCTACAACGGCAAATCTGGACAATAAATGCACTTAAAAATGTTTCATGCCTCTTAACAGTCTAACCTAGTACAGCTATAAATAATATATTGTAGACATAAAACAAAATAATTAATAAATTGGTTCTCTCGCATTTGTCTAAAAACCTCTGCCTGTAACGCGTTTTTGACCCAAATGAAAAAAGGTTGTCGGTCTTGCTGAACCGTTGCACTTCCACACATCCCTGGGTCCTCCATTCATTTATTCGTGGTTTCTTGTGGTCAAAGGTTACAATAATAGCGTACTGCTTACTTACTTGTTTTTTCTTCTTTTTTATCGTGACATAAAGTTTTATATTGTTTTGTTAATATGTCCACTGATTTTGTTTAAAATGTATTAGCTAATGCTAGGTTCTTGTTTTCTTTTTCAATGATTTGTACAAATTGGGCCCTTTTTACTTCTAACTTGTTATACTTTTCCACCTCTCTTATCTGTTTTGTAGAGTGGTCCACCACTGGGTTTTTTTGGGGCCTTTGACCCTCCTGTACAGCACGTTGGATAGCTGAAACTCTGTGTTTTTAAATGTGCTTCATAAATAAATGATGGATGGATGGATGGATGGATGGATGGATGGATGGATACACATGTACATTTGTTAATATTTTTCTTCAGATTATTCTCTTAAGTCCATTACTTTGTTGTTTTGTTTTTTACAAAAGACCAGTAGTAATGGATTATGAAGTTACACACAGAACAAATGTAAATACGAGTATTCTCTTGAGTGTTTGTGCTGCTGTAACAAGTGAATTTCCCCACTGCGGTATCAATAAAGCCAATTCTATTCTATTTCATCCTATTCTATTCATGACACACTTGTGTGTTTAGCAACAGAACACCACTGGTGTGAGAGGTTCTCCGCTCAATAACATCAGAGAAGGAGAAACAGTCGGCTGCCACCACTTCAACTTTAAGACAAACTGCCGGAGTTCCAAAAAGAAAGACACCATTTGAGGTCACGAACAAAAAGACGTTTGGATGCAGAAAACGATGACTGATGTTTAGCACTATTTTGTTTTATCTGGCATCGTGGATTTCTGGTTCGGACAGAAGCGTCTCGGGGAAGATACCCGAGAGGAGGAGTGACTGTTCTGCGACTGTGTTTGCATTTAAAACCTAGCTTTTTCTGCAGATTTGTTATAACAGCTTTCTATTTAAAAAGTCATGCTTCGTGTAAAATGACATTGGATTTGAGAATTAGAAAAATATCTGAAAAGCCTTGTAGACTGATGCGTCTTAATAAAACAACAGATACCGGGAGCACGTCAGTGCCCGTCCAGTGACCCAAAGAAACCCAGCAGGCTTAAGAGCTCAATGAGGTCGATGCCTTAGTGTTTTACAGGGGCTGTGGGAAAACATCTGAACAAACATTTCAGAGACTCAGCAACGCACACTCTTCACTGTACGCCATGACCCTTAGTGTGTGTGTGTGTGTGTGTGTGTGTGTGTGTGTGTGTGCGCGCGCGTGCGTGCGTGCGTGTGTGTGTGTGTGTGTGTGTGTGTGTGTGTGTGTGTGTTCAGCCAACAAGAGTTTCAGAGAAGCTGATCGGCCTCCATCTGGGGAAGCCCACAATGCGAGTCACTGGGATGTCTGCTCCAGCCTTCACACCATCAGTCAGTCTGTTAACAAGTCTCAACAGTAAACACTAACGCTCAGATACTTTCGCTGCTCGGCTAACATCCCGGCTGTTTGCAATGAGGCTAAACAAACTGGGACGATTCAAGAGGGAGCGGCAAAATGAGTTATAAACTGAAGTGTTGATCTGTTGCTACTGCAGTAAACAGCCAACCCCCGTGACCAAGCTTCAAAAGAGTGTTCCACCTCTCTCTCTCTCTCTCTCTCACACACACACACACACACACACACACACACACACACACACACACACACACACACACACACACACACACACACACACACACACACACACACACACCTTAACCTCTCAGGGGTAACAAGGCTAAGGAATGTGCCTCCAGACTGCTGATGACTGGGTGAGGAGTGGGTAAGAGCTAAAAGGGTAAACAAATTCCGAGCCTTGTTTATTTATGAAATGCATACTTTTTGTTAATTTTGTGTGTGCGGAGAGAAGAATGCATGATGTCAAACAGGATCCTCTGGAATAAAATAAAAAGATGTGTCTGTTTGCATGTGAATCTCTGTTTATACCCTCAAAGAGGAAAGAATGCTTGGACAGCACTGTGCATCTCTCAAGAGACTTCCTGACTTTCTAATGATGTCAAAAATACAAGTGACTGTTTGTCTGCACATGTCTGGGTTTGTACACATGCCAGCAGGAAGGTAACGGTACTGTATTTAAGTAAGCAATTAACATATCACCCATTGTCAATACCTTTGTAAAGAGCCTATTTGGAGAATAAGGTTTAATTCTAACAGGTTTAATGAGCCAATCACAGTGAGAGCAGCAAACACCAAAATGTGTTGTTGCTTCTTAAAACAGCGCCAATATCACTTTCATTCACATACATGCATCATTTTCATTTTTACACTGACATGCAAACAGGTATCAAGCTAAAATGTGGCTCATCCAATAGGACCCAAACACAAATTACACAACACTGAAAAACAATATCGGTAAGTCGGAAATTTTGAAAATGATAACATTTGCATTTATTACCCAACCCTAATTCACAGTAACATAATACCTTATGTTAAAGTAACAAAAATCACACACAAAAAAAGTTGCTTATCCAAGCATCTTTAGTCTTGAGGAACTAGAAGTGCAGCTGACTACAGAATGGAGCTGCTGGCATCCCAAGAGAAAACAACTGCTCTCTGTCTCAACCTCATCATTCTTTGTGACCTCACTGCAGAGAACAACAACCACTGTCTTTGGTTGGGTCTGGTTGCCATGGTTTGTGTCCAAAAATGCTCTTGCTAATGTTGTGGGCCATCTCACTTAGACAAAAAACATAACAGATTAAGAACAAGATAAACAAAGTCACTTCTATGGTATGTTCAAAACACTTAGTCCTGTTTTTTAAAAACATACATTTCTGATGAAAGCACATTTTCCCAGTGTTTTAGTTCCTCAATAGTTCAAGTTTCTATGTATGTTGTTTAAGCTTTTTCTTTTATAAATTGCCAGTTTTCAGAAATGGACACATCTGAAGAAGTTTAACAGGAAGGGATCCGTGTTGTCAGATGTGGAGAATGTGGTTTGCCTTGCCAAAGAAGAAAATTTGACAAAACTTGTTTGGCTTACTTACAGACCTTTTCTTTTACTTTAAAAACATCAACTACTGAATGCTCTTTTGTATAGTTTAAATCAAGCCACAACTAATCAACCTCAAACAATGTTGGCAACAACAAAGTTCCTTTTATGGATACTGAGCAATAAGTGTAAGTGGTAGCTGAGACTCATTCACAAAACATACTTTGCATGCTACCAGATTGTAAGAAAACTTGCAACATTGTGCAAGATGACACGCCCGTTTTGTTTGAAAGATTCGACTAAAACTGCTCTCATTTTATAACTTGGTGTTTTGTATTTTATTAACTAATGATTTTGTTCAGAATCCAATTAATACTAGGTCTACTCTGCAACAAGGCGCAAACTCCATCTGTCAAAAACCGAGGCAAACATGAAGTGACAATAATTGTAGTTCCTCCCTAATCCACTAGGGGGCTGCATCCAGAAAGAAGCATGTTCCTGTTGACTCCCTTGTTTAAAATGCCAACTTCACAGTATAAATAAACATGTTTACAGCCCGGAACAAACAAACATTTAAGGTTTAATAGGTCAAGTTTACCATCACGACAACTCAGAGGGAGTGCATTTTTTGTAACTCATCCATTTAGATGTAATTTAAGCTTTAACTAAGGGCTTGTCCATTTGATGACAGGTATCTGTGCTAGCAATTTGCCTCCTGCTTGTTCCGGGGAAGACCTCAGCTTCGGCCTCACTTAAATGTTACAGCCTAGAAGGTGGAGGGTAGCAGAGTCACTCAAATGCAGTTTTCTGGCTAAAGTGCCCACCAACTTCCGTTAGCTTCGGTTAGAGCTACGTGGTCTCGGAGTTTGTTATGGGGTCAATCTACCCCCACGCTCACAGCCCCACTCTCAGCTCCCTTTTTGTATTTTCCG